ATGTCTTCATCTTTGAGCTCTATTAACAATTCACCATGTATGTGATTGTTACTCATCATCGACTCAGCTACCTCACCAGTTATCTTAATATCACCTGAGTGTTTTGTTTCATGTGAATGTGTTTTGTCTACCACTGTATTTCCTCCTTCCACATTATTAGTTTCTTCCTGAGTTTCAAGAGACATCTGTAATGTTGTGACATCCTTTCTCTCCCCAGTTTCAAAAACAGAAATATAGCTATTCTCAGTTTCTTTAGTAACTGAATTATTGTTTTGGTTAGGATCCCAATCATGTAAAGTTTCTAATGGTTTATCCTCCTCTGTAATGCCATTGATTGTTGATTTAGTTACAACACACTCGTTTGCTCCACTACCACTGGCATGTTGAACTGTCTTATCACTAACATGCTCTGATACACTCTGAGAAAGTTGAAGTGACACAAATGAGGTTTCTTGACAGGTCAGGACTTCTTCCGTTTCCTTTTGTGCAAATGGTTCCACTAGATTATTTTTAATGTTTTTACATGCGTGTTCTGGCAGTTGAGCCTGTGCTTCTTCTGCTGTGGTTTGGCTTTGCAGGTCACGGGTTAGACTGCTGTCCTGTACTTTTCCCTGGAGATGTAAACTCTCAGTGGTTATTTGCAGATTCAACAAATCTGTATTCACAGTGTTTACAGTGTGTGGCTGTGCTTCTGTGTCTCCTGAAATTGTTTTTGGAACCTCAGGTGTATTTGTGTGTCTCTGGCCTGAATATATAATCTCAACTGCATCCTGCAGAGTGTCTGCAGGGTCCAGGATATCATTTGCTGTTACACTCAAACTTGTTTCTTCTTCTACAATAGGAGGACTACTCAGAGTGGCATCTAGGCATTCTTGGTTTGATTTCTGAATCTTGATCACATTTCCTTGAACTTTGTCAGCTTTACCAATAACTTGTGTTGGAACTGTGCATCTGGTCTCTCTTCTTTCAGTGTGAGCGTATCTTTGAGTTAAATCTACAACATTCAATGTAGCCTGTACTGGATTTCCCCAATCACCTGCACTTTGACTTTCACTTCCCACTCTGCCAAACACCTGATGATACAGCGGAGCCACCACAGTTCCAAATGTGAAGCTGCTGGTCTGGCTAACAAGGATTTCGCTACTCACTGCTGAAATAACACTGTCATATGGTTCCACTGCAATGTTTCTAGTACATTCATAACACACGCCTTGCCTCTGATTTCTTTCCTCAACTTTAGAGACACACTTGTTGATATGTTGGCAATCTGCTGGACCAAGTTCATCATTTGAATGCAATGGGTTGTCTGGGATATCTGTGGCACTCTCACCTCCTGTTAATGTGGCTGAGTAAGCCAGATTGATGCTCTCAGATTTCTCTGGCTCACTGTTGGATGTGTAGTCGTGTGTTGGTGATGTATAATGTAGGACAGCAGGGACGGATTCGCTGCATGTTTCCAGAGATTTAGAAACAAACTCAGAATCTTCTGATTTGCTGCTCAACTCAGAAAAAGATTGCAGATCTGTATGCTTTTCTTCTTGGGTTTCCTCTTGAGCTGTCTGTTTTACTGCTGGAGGTGATTCATCTCTTTCAGTGTCATTTCCTCCTCCACCTCTTTCAGCAAAGTGGTCCCTCAGCTGAGCCATCCGTGTAGCCTTTCTGCGACTTCTTTGGCTGTAGTTCTGTCTGCTCTCAGTCTGTTCATCAACAACAGTGATAGATTAATTTCAGTTTGCTCAAACAAAAGTTATTCTGTTTTTAGAAAGGGAGTGGGGTGAGTTTAAGAGTCACATGACCCACGGTAGCATGCTTGGATTAAATCCTGTATTTTACAGTATTTTTAATTAAATATAAAATGATAAACTATTAAAATAATATTAGAATAGTATGCATGACTGAATGTTATGTGACTGGGACTCAAATCACAGTCACATAACTCACAGAAAGTGTACCAGGGTCATGTTAAATTTTCTGCTCCTCCTGTACATTATAGAACGCACCACAGTGTCTTTAAGGTCCCTTTCAAATCCAATAATGCAACAGACCTGATACAATATAGTTGAATGACTCAAAAAGAATTTAGGATTTCATAGCTATTATTATCAAGTAACTTGTCAGTCACCTTAATTAATATTGTAATATAATATTATGCTAACTTAAGCTACACACTTGTGAGGCAAGAACAACTGCACTGAATTGCCCTTTAAAGTCTGGATATTTGACTAGGAAGTGTAAGGGCAAACCATAAAATGTATTAGTGAACAGGACAGTTGTGTCTTGGTTTATATTTGCCAAACAATGTCAGAAAGAAATGCAAAATATTTGTGAGGTTTTTTTTTACTCACTAGTAATTTCTGTTCAGCTTCCTCTGATGTTCCTGACTGGCCATCCGAGATTTGTGTGGCTTTTGTAGTGTCCACTTCCTGTCCATTTTTTGACACATCTTGAGAAAAGAGACATATGTATTGAGGCTGCACTATTACAGACACACTTGTTTTTAAATTCACAACTATTTTCTTCATTTCACAGAAAAATAAATATTCACCGGTTGAAATATTTTTGTTGTTTTGTTGAAATGAAGCCTCCAATCCTGAAATGTTTTCCACGGTGGAGAATTTCTGACTGTGAATTAATAAAATTGCGATAAGTTACTTTTCACATACACGCATTGATCAGCCAACCACATAAGGTAACAAGCTGAGATACACTACTTCTTTTGATTAAAATATTTCAAATACTTTTGGTGATGTTATCAATGCAAGATGTGTTTGTCCACATTTAATTTTTTTGAAAACATTTGGCTATTTTCCCATTCACAAACAGCCTGGATTAGTTGCACAACCCTTGCACCTTAACACAGTTTTTCAATTATATTATTCATTCAGCAATAATATAGAGGATATTTCTACCAGTTATGTAAAATGATACAGACCTCACATAGTGCTGATTTGCTGATGTTATCCTTCGCTCTACATACCAAATTCAATGTAGTTTGCCCCCCTTTTAATATCTAGGCTATTGGAAAAGTAACAGCTTTAATTTACATACATTGAATTGTGTCTAAAAACATCATCAGTAGTGACATTTTAACTCTCTTGACTCTTTATATCCTCACCTGATAGTCTTAAGGCAGCTTTTCATGTTCACATTTTCCTTCTGTGGTTTCTCTTTCCTCTCTTTCACTCTCTGATGGCAGAACAGCACGTAGTTTCTGTTGTTATTGTTGGTCCAGAATGTCCCTACTGAAGTCTCATATCGCAGACAAAAATCAACTCTGGCTCCCTGCTCTCCAAATGGGGGCACTAAGGTGAGCTTAAACGAGAAACAGTCCATCAGACCGTCACTGGAACCGGGGATGTACTCTGCCAGGAGATCAAAGTGGCTGGACCAGGAGTCCAAAGTGATTCGGACATATACTGCTTTACTAAAGGAGATATTAAGGACACGGATCACTCCTTTCAGTATTGTGGTCCCTGGAAGTAACTCAATGCTCTCCAACTCCACTTTTTGTTCCCGGACTTTGTCAAACAGCTCCTCAGTAGATAATGGAAGGTAGAAAGTAAGAGGAGATAGGAAGTATTCCTCTGCATCTTTACCTTTGCCCTCAGAAGAGTCATACCCTGGCAGCTTGGGTACATCCCAAGAGTCAAACTTCTTCACGTGCACCAAACTGAGGCCTTTGGCATCTGCAAAGGACACTCTCCTGGAGCCACACAGGGGAGGCTCAGGCTCTGAGTCCTCGTCAGAGACAGAGTTCCTTCGCCGCGGGAGAGGCGAAGATTTGGGCCTGATGCCGATCACCACCTCGCCCTCATCGTCATCCACGTCCAAGGTGCTGAGGCCTGGTACTCCTAAGAGGTTACAGGCCCCAGAAGGTCCTGGCTGTTCCATAAACTCCATAAACTCCATGGGGCTCTCTGTAAGAGAGTTGGTGGGAAATGAACTGCAGGGCTTCTGCTTTTGGCAAGTGACATTCAACATGCTCTGACTTAACAGATGGAATCAAGTTACAGATGACATTGTTGCAAGGGCCAACGCTATAAATAGGCCAGAAAGGACTTCAAGTATGTGCAGTAGTCTAAGCCCAGGAGGAGAAAATATCATCCTCGTGTCTCTTTAAGGCACATCATTTGTGTGATATAATATAACAATATAGATTAATAATTATCTAATTTTCTTACTGGATAAGTAACCCAACAACTAAGAGCTTTAATTGTTCTTATGTAACTGTACTAATTGGTCCCTGGAGAGTTATAATGCCATTCATGTAACAAGCATGAGATTTACCATGACAGCTATTTGTGTTTGTTGCTTTTGGCCCACAGTTGGTCACATGAGGTTTAAAATAGAACAAATGGCCTTAGCATACTGTTTAGGCCTCCAAAATAATTTTCACTAACCAATCGTTGACTCTCTGATGGTGCAATAACTGAGAGCCTGTTAGTATGTTAGAAACAACCATTCCACATAAAGTTATTTCTGTATTCTCTTATGCCATATCAAAGATATTTCTGCACATACCAGAATTATACAATTCACAGTAATGCATTGTGTTTGTACTATTTCCTGTGTTTATCTCCCAGCTGTGACAAAGTGGCTTGTCCAGCCCAAGCCTTGACCAAAGTGGTTAGTCCTTAATCTTACTGAGCAAATATTATACATATTTTAACAGTGAGTAAGAGTGTTAAGGCTTAACTGAAAAATGTGAACCCCCCTGATTTGGATATGAACAGTATAAAAGCGTGTAAAGGCTGTCAGGGAAGATAATCGTTTGTCCAGGGTCCAACAGGAAAGAACCAGAGGATGTGGGATCGGATACGAAAAGGATACTTTATATTTCCCTGCAGTGGACAGGACTGAATACAGAGAAAAGAAGAACAAGACAACATCTCACAGATACTTCATACATGAAAGACGAAAAAGCACGATGTGACTTCATAAATCCATCTGAGACAGAAGAGAACGGCAGTGATGTTAGTTCAAAAGAAATGACTGCAAAAATGGCAGGTCCTGTCAGTACCTTTGAGAGCATCTTAACCAACCCAGCCCATCCTCAAGACAATCTGATGAGTTCCTCAGACAATCCTTCCTCTGAGGACACTCAGCTCTTCTCAAAGCCCGGGCTCTCCTACATTGCACTGATTGCCAAAGTCATCCTCTCCTCCCGCTTCCAGAAACTCAACCTGGCATCCATCTACAAAGCAATGGAGGAGCATTTTCCCTACCTCAGGAGGCGGGGTCCGGGGTGGAGGAACAGTGTCCGGCACAACTTGTCCGTCAATGATTGCTTTGTGAAGGTGAGCCGCTGCGAGGACGGTAGGGGCCATTACTGGGGTGTCCACCATGCTCACCTGAGAGACTTCCAGCAGGGCAACTTCAGGCAATGCAGGAATACCAGGGGGAGGAGGCAGAGGGAGCGATATGACAAAGTGGCAGGGTGTCTGGCTTGGATGGAGACCAGCTACTTTATGGGAAGGCTCTATAAGAGCCCATCTTTGGGGTGGGTGGAGACACAATGCCCTCTACAGGAACCAAGGAGGTATCAGATGAGTTTTTTGGACTTGGCCCAACCATGCTATGAGCCTTGCAACTTCAGTGTGGGCTGGGTCCCATCCCCCAGCTGGATGAAAGGTTACTATTTTTCAGAGAGGCTACCAGAGTATGGCAGGGCCACAGCTGTCAGAGGGCACGACAGTCAACCCATGACCTCAAGACTACACTGTTGGCAGATGAATGACCCAGCACTGGACAGCATGAAAGGGTCATATGAGAGCAGGTTCATGACATCATCAGTGCAAGCCTTTAGGTGTCCTGGCTGCTGGTGTATGTCTCCAGCCATCAAAGAGTTAATAAAACCTTTACCTTGCAAAGTCAATTTCTAATTTCACTCCTGAACTGTCATAAAATATTATGATGAAATGTAGAACAAAGTGGAGACTACGTGGAAATGTGTTTGCTGTCTCTGAATACACAGAACAAATGTAAATTTCCAGTATAAACTAGAGGGCAGGTAAATACTAATCCAGTAGGTGGCAGAAAGTTACCTTGTTAACAATATCTACAATTGAATCATTAATTGCTCTTGAGTCTGTCCTGCTGATGTTTGTACATCATAAGAAGATATGCTTGGCCTCTCTGCTCAATTGTCACTGATATAAAGTCACCATATTTAAATGTACAGCACTAATCCACTTTTACATGGTGTAAATAGTTAATTCTTTAACATGTACTAGTCTGCATTATTGTTGTGTATATTCATAGCTGTGCCATGTTATTTCTGATGCCCTGACAAGAAAAAAACACTTAAAATTTTGTTGTGTGCAAAAATGTAAAATAATGTATTATGGGTCTTTGCTCGTTACCTTGACGTACTTTGCATCTCATCAAAGTATATTGTAAGTACTCCTGATGGTTTGGCAGCCTGGCCTTTGGTCCGCATCATGTACTTGTCTGTAAAACACATTTTGCAATAAAGAGCTGACATCACAAGCCACCATTACAGGTGTGTGATGAAGGTGGCATGCTTAAAAGAAGAAAAGGAAGAAAAAGAAAGGAAAGAGTAAAAAAAAGAGTCAAATAGACTGAAAATGCTGAACCAAAATGCTTAAAAATGTGAAGTGCAGAAATGTCCTGTACAAAGTTTCACAGTCATTTCAGGCATTGTTTGTCAATGCTGTGTTGAACATTTACACTCTAGGGTAAGCTGCATTTATCAGTAGCCAAAATTAAAACACTTTTATTTGTTTAAAACAGATGTACTGATGTGCTATTCAAATAAAAGTGCAGACGCTACTGTAAATAGCTCTTTGATAACAATTTGACAGTTGTGTAGCGTAGAGCTCTTTTTGTTGTTCAAAACTTGTAAATACTGCATATCTAAATAAAGTCACAGACAACTATACTTGTCTTTTCTCAAAGCAGACCCTTTGTTTTAATCATGAAAGACAATAAACGATGCTTGGTTTCAGGCATCTTGTTTTTAATGGTTTTGTTTTTACAAAAAACTGTTGTGCATGTCTATGAATATCAACAAAGAAAAGTAATGCCTGGAAAAATGCTTTCTTACTGCTAAATAGTCACAATATCATATTTTATATGTTTATATATCATGTTACAATATACATTGTATTTTAATATCACTGCAATGTACAAGTGATGTTTATTGATTCATGCAAATTAGAGGATCCTTTTTACAAACTGAGAAAAAGAAAATCATCCCCTACATATGTGGAGACACTCACCAGGTAACCTAGATAGGGCTAGCTGATTTGGTAACCTGTTTTCATCTTCCAGTAATCAACTGCTATTCTTAATGTCTAATTCACTGACTGACACAGTGACTCCTCCCCCTCAGGTAGACACACAACTCCATCAGTTCTTTCCCATTCTCACTCCAAACTGCATGACTTGGAGACATCAACTCTGCCTGGCTGCTCAGAATTCGACTATTCATCGTAACGGTATGTAGTTTTAACACACTTCTGACAGAACTAGAGGCATCAGAGAGCTTTCTATTGTGATGGTGTGATCAGATGTTTCTTCTTGAATGATTTTAGGAGTTAATACTTAGAGTTAAACTCCTATTTGTGCTCAGTTTTAGAGGCAATTGGTTGTTTTTTATAACTCTCTTGCATACATGTAGGACCTTTTTTTTTTACCTTAGTATCTACTTCCTGCATTGCAGAGATAAATTAAGACATGTAATAAAAAGTTGGCTTTGAAAAACTCAATCCAAGCTTGATCTTCATGGTCTGTCAATAAGAAGCCACAGACACTAACTGACTTTATTCTGTGTCAAATTACTAATTTGAGTTGTGATAATCTGAAATTATAATGGACAATCTGGATTTATAATACATATCTAGTCTTTGGTTCAATAAAAAACATCTATAGAATTTAAATGGATTTGAAGCCTTGTGCTGTTTATTTCAGTTAGTTTTTACAATATTTTTTCCTTCTCTTGCGCGTTCTATTAGCCAGTACCTCAATAAGCATGACAACCATCTTTGGTATTTTTAGAATTTAGTTTTTTAGAAGTTTTCTTTCTAGCCATGTGTTTAATGCAAAGCCACACAAAGGTGCAATTTAGCCGTGATGCTGAACAACATACAGTGATTGAGTCTTACAGCTTATTTGAAGTTTGACTGTTGACTGTCCATTAGGACCTGAGCTGGGATGCCTGAGTCTCCTCTCAGTCCCACGGCAGCCCGTCAAACCCCAGCCAGCAGCCTCCTCAGTCACACAGACAACGGCGCAGGAGAGAGAGTAGCTAATGGGGATTCCTGCAGTAGAGTGAGTGGTGAAAGCTGGCAGAGTCTCCGCAATAAACAGGTATCTTCATCCTCCTCCTACTCTTCAACCTCCCCCTCATCCTCCTTCTTCCGTCTCTCTTCGTCTCCTCCTCTTCATAAGCGGGAAATAGAACAGTCTAAGGCAAACATATGTCAAGAGAAATACTGCACATCTGCTCCATATTGGACGTCCTCTGACAGGACACCAAACCAGGAGCCTGTAGCTCTGTTGACAGTGGCAGGGATTTCTTATGAGATCTGATCCGAATTGGGAGTTGACACACAGACCTCTGTTTGTCCTTCATTATTAGTTTGTGAGTCAGAGCCAGGGAGGAATAATTGTCTAGAGACCTAAGCCAAACAGATGCAGGTGAAAGGCAAATAAGCATGGCCCAACATAATTTTATGGTTGTCAGTTGCGATTCCATCTGTGGGGATCTTAATATACGGGATCAATGAAACGACCGCGATAATGAACGCCTGGTCACCACTGTTTCCTTCACATTGTTCTCTCATCTTGTCAGTTTTGCTCTGCTCTTTTCTCCTAATTCACTTTCTAAACCTGAACAAGGCACTCAACTTGTGACCCTGCAGATTTTTAATATGGCAAAAAAACACTGGCACTATCCAGAGTAAAAAAAACTCCTATCACTGTCTCCAACAGTGTGAGAAGAATTTTTAAACACGTTATTTTTTTTGTAATCTTCAGTGAACATGATGACTAAGTGACAATGTCATAATGCTACTGTGGCAATGTTGCCTGTCTGCCAGAGTGTGATTACAGTGTTCAAAACATAACATTGGTGTGATATGAATGTTTTCAAACTTCTAACTCTGAAAACGTTACAAATGAAGACTATTTACAGAGCAGACTGGTTTTCTGTTATAGTGAAAAAGAATGACCTCCATTGTAATGTATGTCTTTTTCTAACTGTATCATCCAATCTACACACCACAAATGGCTGCCCAATGGTTCAATGAAGCCAGCTGTATGTCAGTGCCGTCTACTCACACAGGAAGAGCCAGGAAAGACACAACAATTGTAAGACTAGGGCTGCAACTTGTATTTTTTTTCATTATCAATTGATCTGTCCAGTATTTTTACGATTAATCAATTAACTGTTTATGCAATAAAGTGTCACAAAAGCATGAAAAATATTCATCAAAACTTTAAATGACTTGTTTTGTCTAACTAAGGTTTTTGCAGAATCTAACAGGTATGTGGTGGGGTGAGGAGATTAGGTAAATTAGGTTAGGGCAAGTACATTTTTTACACATATATGACGTTTGTTACACTAGGCTTATTGGCTCTTCATATTACTGTCTCTGTTTCCCCTAGTTCCCCTCAGGGAAGTGACAGTACAAAAACAAAATATATTTATTTTGAATAGATATCAAACAGAAAAGCAGCTAATCCTCACATTTAAGAGACTGTAAATGCTTAAACACTTAAATAATTATATACATCTTGTGAATTTTTTGTTGATTAACTAATCACCTGACTAGTCAATTAATCCTCCTATTGTAAGCAATGCAGATCATCACACCTGCCGTGCCAAAGTGTGAATTCCTCTTTGTCTAGACTAATTTCCACTGTTCTTAATTTTCTAGTTGTCTCATCAGTCTGGTCAAAATACAGGAGGTATTATCTCAAAGGACTGAAAACAAAAATGACAACCTTGAGGTCCCTGATGTTTTCTTTCATTATATCCTGCAAGCGGCTAAGATATTACTCCAATATAGATTTATTGTAAGGGTTCACTGAAACCTATAGAGAACATCATGTCACAGCCATTACACATCGGTATACAGTAATTGACATCCTACATTTAGAAAATAAGAGACACTAACCATTTTAAAAATTTCATAAACTTTTAAATTAATACATTATATTTCACACATTGGTGGTGGTTGAGATGAGTCCCCCACCATTTCACTCTGAAGCGCTTTGAGTTTCTATGATAAAGCACCATTGTTATTGTTAATTTTATTATTATTATTATTATTTTTCTACAATCACTTGACAGCACTAGTATTTGTTTTAGCATTGTTTGTAAAACATGTTAGATTTGTAAGAGGCTTTTTGTTGTTTCGTAATGCGGTCATGGCAATTGATGTTGCCTCTGTTTGAATACAAAAGGAGATAATCACTGTCACTCAACAAGTAACAGTGCAGATCAGTTATTATTCTGTGAGTGTTTTCCTTTATTAATACCCATACACTTCTATTAGGAGTCACAACAAGCATGTAATTGTGTTGCTAATTAACTGGTCAGCCTATCTCCCATTTCATTTAGGGTCAATGACACAATCCAGCATGATGATGTTCACAAAAGGTTGACAGCACTGTTTTGTAATTGGAATGGAAAGATACCCATTCAGTGGTTATTACTGTTTAACACCTGACACAGCCTTCTGTCTCTCTCACTCCTCTTGCTTTCACCCTGTAGACTGTGGTCCTTTGTCATTTTATCCTTCCTCTTCTTCTTGAAGGTGCTTCTGGCTATGATGGCTCCTCAGCAGATGCAGCCGCTTCTGTCCGCCAACCAGCTGCAGGCTCTGATCCAACAGAAGCAACAAGCCTTTCTGCTCCAGCAGGTAATCATACAATATTAATTCTAAAATAGGTATAACTACTACTTCTAATAATACACTGCACTGTTTATTGGAAAATACCTGTGCAGAATAAAGTTTGAATAAAGTTATTTTTTCTTGTATACAAATATTAATTGGACTGAAACTACTGTAAAGGACTGAATGCAATATAACATTAATTTAGCCATACAATTGGCTTAGTTGTCTGTCTAAGTTGAATCTTAACTATATGGTAAACAAACTTGTCTGCTATGAGCAAAAACATTTTGACTGTAAAGAAAATGTAATTTACTTAAGTACTTTGGTTGATGTTACTGTAACATTAGCCAGTTAGCCTAGCTAGCATTTACCTGAAGCTATCAAGGTATGCAAATTTGTTAGCTAGCTATACGCAAACTGGTCTGCTAAGGCAAAAATAACCTAAAAGAATAAAATACAGTAGTGTTATTGGTATTTTGGTTAACACTAACCAACTTAGTCTACCTGACCTTCCAAGTTCAATTTATTGATATATATATATATATATATAGTCCTTTTTCACAGCAGACATGTTGACTTAACAAAATAAAGGAAGGCTGCCCTCCATTTAGCTTTAACCTACTAGTTTTAGGCATCTGCTCCTGTGTATGCTGGCTCACCAACATGGTTGACTTATATAAAACAGAGCCATGTTACCAGAATCAATTGCACCTGTGCTCAGCATGTCTGCTGTGTAAAAGGCCCATTCGCTAGTAAGCTAGTCTGCAGACATTAAAACACCATGAACAAAGACTATGGATTAAAAAAAAAAACTAAAATCAATACATTTAATTGATTCTTAAGTTCCTTTTGTCATCTAAGCAGTTTGTGGTTTGAGGTTCTTCTTCTTCACCCACTGAAGTTTCAGTGAGATTATTCCTGCCTCCACAAAAGTACTCAAAGATCATCTGGGACGGGTCTGCTTACCATCCCTGAGTCTAAACTAAACTTGGAGAAGCGGCATTCAGCTTTTGCACCACATATCTGGAAAAAAACTCCCAGAAAACTTGAGGTCTGCTCCAAATCTCGGTTCCTTTAAATAAAGACTAATTTTGTTTTGCTGTATTTTAGCTTATGTTTATCTTCGCCTTTATTTTACTATTTTAAATCATATTTAAATGTATTTTTATATTGCCTTGTGTTACTTTCATGTGTTATGCAAAGCACGTTGAATTACCTTGTTGTTGAAAAGTGCTACACACCTAAGCTTCCTTTGCTCTTACATCTGAACAAGAAGGAAGTGTTAATAAAACCTCTTGTCATACATGCCACTGCTCTTGTCACTGCCCCATCTTTTAAATAATGGCAAAATTGTACCACATACACTGGCAACAGTAGTCAATAAAAAAAACAAATCTTGTGTGTCTGACATATCTAAAGGGGGACTCATGGGAGGCAAATTGTAATTCAAGAGATTAGTATATTCTGCTGTTTCATGTATGTCACTGTAAGTCGTTTGAGAGTTAAGTTAATGTCTAAAATTATCATAATAATAATAATAATAATAATGGTATGATAATGATCCATCACCATTTTTCTAGCAACATCTGAAAGAGTTTTACAAGAAGCAACAACAACAGATTCACTTGCAGCTGCTTCAACAGCAGCCCAGCAAGAAAGCCAAAGAAGTAAGTAACTAATCTTTAAATTCTTTCAGTTTATTTGACTGGTTTCACACTAAAGTTTATATATCAATCTTAGGGTAAAAGTTCTCATTAGTAAGATCAATATAATGTAATAAATAAAATAACATTTTCTTGTATTAAGGTTGATGAGTAATCTTTAACTTTTTTATGGGAAACAAAGAAACTTTTGCAGTATCCACAGCACTGGAACCTTTTATGGAGTCCTGTAAGTGTTCATGTGCTTTGACACTTGCTTTATGGATTTTAGAACAATGTTTTCTAGCCTTCGCAGCTGAGATGTTGGTGGTGTGGGAAGTGTATGCCACTGATTTTAGCCCAAGATCACTACCTGGACAAGCAGGAGAAAAGAGAGTTAGAGCAGCAGAGCTCCACATGAAAACTACTTCACTTTTCTGTGTCAATGTCAGCAGCTTGTGTTCCAGCAGCTCCTCCAGCTCCAGCAGCAGCAGCTCCTCCGGGTGCAGAGACCAGTCCTGGCTTCTCCTGCCCTCTCTCCAGGTCACTCAACACTACATTTCATTACATTATTTGAGATGTTTTATTTCCAATGATCTGTGTGTTTCTGCACATCACTGTTTTTAGAGCATGTTTACAAATTTCCAATTACTACGGTATGTTGTATATACTATAGTAATCGGAAATGACTCAAACATTGCACGGGAAGATTTGTTTGTAGTTGACTTTAGGTTCATAACTGCACTAAAGTCAAAAGATGCAATGATTCAAACCTTAAAGTAGAAAATTAATTCTTGTTATTCTAGTTGTGATAATTATTCCTGGATTACAGTGAGGAGGTAACGTGAGGTCATGAGAAAGAGTTGCTCTCCCCATTTCTGCCCTCACGTTCTAAGGTGGGAAACACAGAATTGCAGCTCTGACTGATTGGGGTATTTACAATATACTGTATTTTTTATGTTTTAGCTGGTTTCGGCCCCTCAGAGATGCAGCAGATATGGCAAGAGCTCACAAATGCAATAACCGAAGACAAAACCCTATTGAGGGGCAATCAGGATTCTTCTGCTAACAACATGATGTCAACAAAAGTCACAGGAAGACAGACAGGTGACCAGCAGACTGCTTCTCCTCGCAGGCCAGAAAGGTACACTCTGTCTGTTCCTGCTGTAAACAGATTGTGAGAAGTGAGATGATACTGCCTTTTGGTAAACATCAAAGACTTGTCATGTGTAGACATTTTCTTCCTCTCAAGGTGCTGGTGGGGAGGTGTTTGCTTTTGCAGTGAGACTTCACTTTTAATTCCCCTCGGGACGATATGTTTTGTTTTGTTTGTCTGCTTTGTGTTCCACTACCTAAAGTGGTTCAGCAAAGAAAAAACTATACATGACTACATGTCCCAAATCAAAAGTAAATAGTTTTCCATTTATTTTTCAGTGCTCCCCTCCACCTCTCTCTGTCATTTTCTGCTACCTTAAAAGAAAAGAGAACACGCTTATATCTGTTTTATTGCTGTTTTGCTCTCGTTTTTTGTTGTTTAATCATGTCAATGCTTTCACTCTAGTGCTTTTAAAGCTGATTGCGCTGCCACACACGCTCTCTACGGTCACGGTGTGTGTAATTGGCCTGGATGTGAGTCAGTGTGTGACACCTTCAGCCAGTTCATCAAGTAGGTTTATAAAACTTCATTCTCATGCATTTTACTTTCTGACTCTTCGCACCTTTCTATTGAGGATTTAAAAGAATGCTCAAGTGAAAATATTTTCAGTATCAAATACTCACCCTCTGTAGGCTTGAAAAGTTCCTCTGAAATGTTTGTATCCCCAGTTATCTCATTGCATTCTAATCATCGAGCTATGTGTTAATATTTCTGACAGATAAAGCTTTGGTGAGCTTTTAAAAATACCAGTGAGCCAGATGTCATTACTTTACAAGATATGGTTAGAGTAGGGCTGGGTAATAAAACAATAATCATAATTATCACAATATACTTTTCCTCAATAACAGTATAACAAATGTTCAATATATCGTCAATAAATTTTTGATTGATTTCATTTGAATCACGAGCAAATATGCACGTAATTTTTCCATTTAGATATTTATTTCATTGAGGAAAAGGGACTGAAATCATGTTTTTTGAAAAAAAGATTTTATCATAATAGTTTTGAATGTTCTACCTCAGACTTGTGAAGTGATCCACTGTTTGGCATCAAGTGTTTGTCACATTCTGAACACAAAGAAAAGTTTGACCACACAATTAACCATCTTTTCATCATCGTTTTTTTCAATTTTCACTCAGGAGCAAAAATTTGCCTTTAAACTTGAAAGAAATAATGATTTGACATTTATCGTGATAATTATCGATATTAAATTGTATGAAATTGTTTTATTGTGATAACAGTTTTGGCCAAATCGCCCAGCCCTAGTTTAGAGTCGTCAGGAACTCAGGAAAATTTGGATAAAAACTTCTCTCTACAGCACAATAGTAAAGATTTCTAACCTTTTCCTGTGTCCCTGTGTGTAACTTTGCCAAGTTGCAATTTGTAAAATTCTTGAGAACAGCATATGAACAGTTGAGTATTGTTTGATCCAGATGTGGAGGAGAATTTGAGGATTCTGGAAATACTTTAAAAGTTGTTCTCAACCCACATTTGGGTCTTTAGTAAGACCGCTGGGGGATTTATCTTTCAGAAAGGTTGCTCTGATGATCTGATCGGATGATCTCTGTGACTTAAAAGTAAGGATAAGACACAAGAGGCACAAACTGGGGCTAAAATGTCAGTCAGCATGGATTCACAGCAATCACATTGTATTTCAATGGTTTAAAAAATAAAAGAAATGCATCCATTAAAATGTCTCAAACCATTCATGCAGCATAGTCCACTTCTCTGCTGTTAATATCAGTGTTTTTCAAATTTCACTTTGCCAAAGAATTTCTGCATGAGTGATGTGAATGAAGTTTCCCTGAATGTTTTGACTGCTGTGAATCCAAGTTGACAACTGCTGCTATCTTTGCGAAGGAGCAAGCTGCAGACTTTTCAGAGCTCCCTCGGGAATGAGTATTTGGTACTCAATATACAGATTTTCAGTAGAGCATTTTTTAAATTCCCCTGCGTGTGTTTCAGGCACATAAGCAGCGAGCATAATCTGGATGACAGAAGTACAGCGCAGTGCAGAGTCCAGATGCAGGTGGTTCAGCAGCTTGAACTTCAGGTAGGCACGAGTTCTGTAACGTTTACCAAAAACAAAGATTTACAGCTGCTGCTTGGATGTGTGCTATTGGCCATGCATGTGCTGTTTGGATCACACATCATATTGGAAATGTGACAACAGTGTCATACTCTGCGCAAGAAAACCTAACTGAGCCTTGATTAGAGTGTGAGTTTGCTTATGTCTGCAACACTAGATTCTTCTACCTGAATTTACTCAAAACTTCACCACCTAAACACCTTGTTGCTCATGGTAAATGTTCATGTAAAGTTTTTCCTAATGTTTGACACAGCAGGAAATTGTACTTTGCAAAATGTGTTTGGTTCACAGCGTTCCATTTCAATCGTCTGTGCTCAGTCATTTTGATGCAACACCATCCACTCTGATTTCTTCTCCCTCCCGTCATCTCCTGTAACAGCTCTGCAAGGAACGGGAGCGTCTGCGAGCGATGATGGCTCACCTGCATCTGCCGTCTTTAGAAGCACAGTCAGTCTCTGCACCCGTGAGTCTACAGTCACCACAATCTGATACGGCTGCTGACCCACGTGGCCTGCAGGTAGATAGTGTGCAGTTATGGCTGTGTAAACAACAGGGACAAAGTAAATGAGCCGTAAAACTGTGCGGCATTTTGGAGCTGTAAGCAAAACTCTAAATATGTAGTGGAGAGTGAAAATAACACATGTCTGGCTGAAACTTCTTTTTCTCTAGCATTGATGAAGATACTCTCAGCCTGTAATTGACCTGGTGAACTTGTACAGTTGGATGAGTTGCAAAAATATGTTGCCATTTTCTTAGATACAAAAAAAAAAAAAGCATGGTTTAGGGGTACTCCTGCCTGAGATGAAGGTTTATTTGAGCCTTCTAAGAGAAACTATGTCTTGAAAAGGTTTTACCATTTTGCACCATTTTACCATAAGTCTCAAATTACTTTTACATGTTTTCTTTGTGGAGATCTCCATCCATTCTGAGTATGACTTACAGCATGATGTGAATCCTGAGCGCGTCCCTGTGCCCAGCTGTTGGCAACAGATGGCTGCCATTGTGTTATCAGACAGCAGACATGCTCTGATAATGTGGAAGCTAATAATTTGTTAATCTTGCAAATATTGCACCATAATCACAACACTCACCAAACAATTTCACCCTATAATTAACAATAATTGGCTTCCTTCTTCTTGCAGTATTAGTGGAATCACCTCTGAAGAGGCGAATCAAATCGCTCTGTTACACTCTGCTGAAAAAACTCCCACTCTCTTCTGTTTCTCTGTCAGTCTTTTCAGTCCTTTGTTAACTTGGACCTTCTGCTTGTGTCGCACTCAGCTCAACTCAGTCACCAACAACCTGCCCTCGGTGAGCCCGTCAAACTCGGCCCAGGCGTCGCCCCAACCTCTGGTCACTGTCAGCTCTCCATCCGTGTGCTGTGAAAAAGAGTCGTCCATTCAAACGTCATGTGCTGGGGCCATAAAACGTCGCCATTACCCTCTGGTCTACTCGCTATCTTCAGGTAAACAAAATACTGTAGTCACTTGTAGATTATTTTCATACAACAAATGATTAGTTCAAAGCACATTTCCTACTCCACTTTCCACTTACTATGTTTTGTGTTGTTTCAGAAAATGAATTTGAGCTCTACAAGAACACTGACATCAGACCACCTTTCACCTATGCAACACTGATAAGACAAGTACAGTCTATAACTTGGAATACAAATTATTTCTTTCTTTGCTTAACTTTAAACATTGTAACTAGGATTTAATATATTTGTATATTATTTAAATCTATTTGTAGACTAATTGCACAATTTGCAATTAAGTGCAATTAATGTTTTCTCTTCTTGTGAATATTACTCTGTGTTTTCCTGTGTTGTATTCACTGGTCCCTAGAATATGAACATTTTAAAGTTGGAGGTCTTCCATGCCATTAAATGACCTCTCTATGCACTGCATTTCTATGTTCATATTGTTTGCCATGTGAGCTCATTCATTTGAATTATCAAAATTAATTGGCAACAGATCTGATTGTTGATTCATCATGTTAAATAATTTTTCATGCAAAAATGCCAAGAACCCTTATGTTCCAGTTTCTTAAATATGACTACTTGCTGGTTCTCTTGGTTCTCTTGATTGACTATGATAGGAAATAAATAGGTCCGTTTGGCCTTTGGGTTATTTTCTGACATTAAATTATTAATTGATTAATCAAGACAATTCTCGGCAGATTAATAATATAAAAAATATATTTTGTATACTATATAATACTGTGTATTTGCAGCCTTATACCTGTCTTGTGTTAGTAAAATTATTACTGGTCCACCAATTTTCTAAACCTCCCTCTCTGGTTGTAAATAGTTTTGTTGTTACCTTTTAATAGATGCTTTATAAAAATGCTATCCCGCTATACTCACTGCACTGTTCCTGCTTGTAACAATGCACTTTGAAAAAAGGACTGCATCAGAATTTCCCACTCCTACTTTGGATCAATAGTTTATCACAGTTTATTATTTTTGTTCCATCTACAGGCTATTATGGAAACATCCGACATGCAACTAACACTCAACGAGATATACAACTGGTTCACACGGACGTTTGCTTATTTCAGACGCAACGCTGCCACATGGAAGGTTTCACACCCTCAGATAATTAACTCTGTGATCCCAGTGTGTGTCCTACCTGATTTGTGCAGCCTGTATTCAGTAATATCTCCTTCACTTTGATTTTCTCTGGATCAGAACGCAGTGCGCCACAACCTGAGCCTGCACAAGTGTTTTGTGCGTGTGGAGAATGTGAAAGGCGCGGTGTGGACAGTCGATGAGGTGGAATACCAGAAGAGGAGGTCCCAGAAGGTCACAGGGTACAGTAGATGACTTCCTGTATATCGCAGCGCTGGTATCAGGGTATCTGCATATATTTCAGTTTAACATTATGATATTTAAGACAATTTTAATGGCAAACAGTGTTGAAGCAGATATCCTCAAGGGTTTTCAGTCGTTTGTTTTAGCATTCAAGTAGAAAAACAGAAAACTTTCTTCTTCTGCCTCTTCTGGGTTTTAACATGAATGACGGTCACAGAAGTTTCTGCGACTGACACCACTGTGTTGTCATCAGAGTTACAATGAACAAAATAGTCCTATGTCCAAGATTCTTTATTGCATCTGCAGTATTGCAGACATTTGTGTCTTAATTATATGCCTCAGTAAATGAATAATAAAAATGCCTGAATTGATACTGGTGACAATTTCAAGGCTCTACTTCAATGTTCTTTCCTGATCATTCATACGACTGAATTATTTGTCATCATAGCTGACCTTGCCTCAAACTCATTTTGTTAACCACGTTGTGGCTTGTGGAATATATACAATGTATTGATTTGCTTGCCATGAATTAGACATGGATTGTGTTTGTTTTGAAATTTTGTTACCTTTGTTATTCCACAGGAGTCCATCCCTGATGAAAAATGTATCCTCCAGTCTTGATTTTGGGAACGTTCTGAATGCCAGCTTACAGGTGAGAGGACGTGTTACAGTACATCTTTCAAGCAACTACAACACTGGTTTCCTGATTACAGGAGTTTGAAGTGGTTGAGTTGAGGTCACTGTGAATTTTTGATCAATCTTCACTGTAGACGGAGCTGGTTGAGTCGTCACTGCCAGGATTCAAGAAGGAGTGTGTCAGCCGTAACTCCAGGAGTCAAATACAGGAGATCAAAGCAACACACAACAGCAGCCACAATAAACAAAACTTCTCTCCACAAGTCCAGCAGTGAGTTTTGTTTATTGTGAACTCTAAAAATCAATGAAATAACTAATGTGGTGCAATTATTGATCAAAATGTCTTTTCTTTTCACCTCTTGCAGGTCTCTTTTCCTTAAAGACGAAATGCTGAATGACCAAGAATCTCTGATGCCAACAGTAAAACCAACCAGTCTGCAGCACGACATGGCTGAAAATCACGAAGAGCATTTGTTTGACCTTGAATAACAAAAAAAGGGGTTCAGACATAAAGCAATCACTTGCAAAACACTATAGTAAACCGTTGAACATTCAGGGATGTAGACCACAGTTTACATATTATACAATCTTATATGTTAAGTGTGTAGTGTAAGCCAGCCTGAAATTCTCATATTAAAATGGAGCTATTCATAATTGTGGTTTACTATATGGTTCATATTATTCTCATACACATGAAAACTGTTCTGATTTAGTTGACTGTGGATCACTAAATGTCAAGCAGTTCACTTTTTCTTTTGACTTTTGAGCCTTATGGAAGAGGAAGTGGAAAATAATGCCAACTGTGGTTTTTGTGTTGGCATTTTGCATGATTAATTTCTGCATTTTTGATAAGCTAGAGATTTAAAAATATTTATTTAAACTAATAGGTTAAGGATATGATAAAAGTATTACATGTTAAAAGTTATTATATTTGATTATGAGATTCACTCATTCAAGAAAAGTGACAACAGCAAAGTCCAAAAAACATATGATTAACACAATCAAAAACACAGTTGCAATCTGATAATGTCCACCATGTGCACCGTGAACAAATTCTACCCTTTTAGGCCAAAGTAAATGATTTACAAAAATATTTGTTATAATTTGATGTGTGTGATTTGTAGAGAATTAATGTTTTGTCTGTTTATTGTCATAGTTAAAAAAAAACAAAGTGTGAATGTAAACACTACATTATAGCGAGCAAGACAGAGATGTTTTGTGGTGATGAACTGAAACATGTATAGTGTGCTGTGACTTCTCTCTGTTGTCTTTGTACATTAAAAATATTTGTAAGATGCACATCAACCTGCTGAAATGTATTTTAACAATATTATTTTTTTTAAGTAAACAAAGTCACTCTGTCTTATCTGTGTTTTCCTGTTTCCCTGTGTGTAACTTCTGTATTTAATACAGAGCTGTGTTTCCACTGAAGTAAAGACTGTTCGAAACATTCCACTTTTATAACATTTTGAGTCTTTACAATAGATGTTGTGTACATTCAACTCTCTGTACATATAAAAACATTTTTGTCCATAATTGTATGTCTGAGTACAATGTAATAAATATATGTAATGGGTATGTTGTTTGTCATCAATGCAGTTCATTTTATTATTTTCACAGACCTGGCATGGTTACACTTGTAGAGTGTATGTTGGATATTGGGTATTTCGCATTGAAAATAAAACATTGCTTTGTTTGAGGTAAATACACTTGTTGCAGTGTCTTGCTTTTGCTTGTTTAAGCAGCATAATAGAGTACATATAAACATAACCTAAACTAATAATTGATTTATTTGCCTTGACAGAATGCTAATAGCACGGTCATGTTGCTCTGGGCTTTAGTTTGGGTCGTTCTAATAAAAAATTTGAATTATCTAATCAAACTTAGCTGTTATATATCATTCAAAATCATTCACAATATTGCTGATTTAGAAATTTGTTGGATGTAGTTCAGTCTTTCATCAAAGACTGATATTGCGGCATTGTAGTTATATTTGGTGGTATGGCTCTGTTCTGGGATCTCCCTGCCCATCCACGCACCTACATGGAAAGCCATGAGGCGAGGAGGGCAGCTCCCCGCCCTTCCACATGCCTATGTGGAAAAGCCATAAGGTAGGGAGGGCACATCCCTGCCCATCCATGTGCATACATGGAAGGCCTGAGGCAGAGAGCAACAGTAAAGAACCCCTGTACAGAACAAAGCAGGCATATGCAATTTACATGTTTTATCAGGCTGCAGCCTCTGCTGCTCTGTGTTGCCTCTTGCAAACAAACACACACGTGGGCTCACACAGACGAACAGTCGCATGCACAGAGATAGCCCATGGACATGTTGAAGTGAAGGTAACTCTAAGCTACTTGAGTTAATGACAGCTACCTTCGTTACTGCAGTATGTGAAATAAAACCTCAAGAGTAAAAGACAACTTGTTGATCCTTTCGTTAAACAAGCATAACATGTAAAAGGGGTTATTTGATCTTCTCTGTACACGTCTCTAACGCTAGCTTAGCAAAGCTAGATGTACAACGAGCTAAATGAAAGCTGTCTGTCGCTAACTGTTAAGCTTAGATTGCCATGTACCTTCAATCTGTACACTGTTACCTGCAGTGAATCACGCAGAGACAGAGGGAAGGAGGACAGGAGCTAGCTGCCTGAACTGCGTCTGTGTGGCTCTATCTGCGCACAGTGACATGACGCCCACAGCGCGACAATGCAGTGGCGCATGTTAGCATGTTTGATTCTATTCGGCCAAATTCATTCCCCAATGTGCTTCTGATGATGAGATATACCCAATCGGCTAATACTTATCGGATCAATAATTATTGTGCATCCTTATCAGATGCAGCCTTAAAGGTGGAGCATGGATGGCAGTGGGTTATGAGCTATTTGCATAGAAAGCCGCAAGGGCAGGCAGGTAGGCTACGGTAGCTTAAACAGGCGCCTTGTATAGAATTTTTCAATGAATGCTAAGAGAGGAATCAGCTGAGCTGTCAGCTGATGTGCTGCTGAAAATGGCTGCTATCAGCTGATACGCTGGAATGAGCTGAGCTTGACCTTGTTGCCTGCCTGAACTAACGTTATGCTTGATTTGGTGTAAAATCAATGATATGTCCATGATGACAGTAAAAATGCAACTGCGTAAATTAAAGGTGCCATCCCTTTAAAATCCTCAAAATACATAACTGCAGGGGATAATAATTAACATTAAATATATTATATTTGAACCAATCATTTTAAAACTGTTTTTGTTAATATTCATGGTTGCTTGTCTGTTGATGATCACTAAAAGATAGTCTCAGTTTACTCTTTTTAATCACATCAACATGTAAAAATGCAAAAAATTCTCGGATAAACAATCCCAACTGCATCACATGGTCTCATGCACTGATGAACACCATGGCATGAAGCTGATACCATAGACTTCACAACCAAACACAGAACAAAGGCAGATTTCTTCGGCTCCCTGTTTTGACTAATGTCAGTAATTGTCTTGGCTGATAACGAGTTTGCTGTTGCCTCTCAGGGCTTCCTTTGATTCTCTGTCAGCCTATTAGATGACATCTTCTGACTGCCTCTCCACGCTGCGTTCACTGACTGGAAGTTAGCACGGTGCTAGACAACTTCAACAGCTTCACTTATGTGTTGCTTTGATGTGCCATAATCTCACTGTGACGCAGGCAAGTCAACATGTTTTTCAACGCAGCACTTTTGACAGCACTTAGTCAACAGCCCCTCCGACAGGGCTGTTCATTTTCTCATCAGTGTGTAATGGTGATGCTGTCGCCCATGTCCAATCTTTTAAGTAAAGTAAAATCCTCATCTGTGGGAAACATACAAAGATTTAAATGTCACTGACTGTAAATAATTACCTAATAGTTTTATTTTGTTTTTGGGGGCTTGAAATAAAAACTCAGAATAAGCTATTGATTGATTACTACTGTCTGCTCTTACATTAGATAATACATTAAACAAACCTACATTTTCCTGCATTTTAACAAATCTCAAAGGTCACAGAACATGGCTCATTGGAATGTGGACATGGAGTTTGCAAACTCCATCGACTGAGGAACCCATTAGATTTTATGTAAAGCTAGTTAAGTGGACCTTGAGTTGTTCATGGGTAGATGAATGTGTGGATGTCTATCTGTCATATATAGATCCATGAACAGTTCACCTGTAGTATAGATATCATTTAATTCAGATAGAATTATACTGAATGAACAGAGTTTTCTAGCAAGTGTTACAAAAAAAACCTTGTTTGTTACAACTAACCTCACCCATGGGGTAAGTTGAAACATTTCACTCCCTCGACATTTGGCGAAATTGTACAAGAATGGTAAGTCCTAGAAACAAACTTCAAGCGTCATCATCAAGTGTAGTCATAGCAGAGATATGTGTGGTGCTTGTATAAAAATAGGATTAATCAAACTCAAATAATTTTTTAATTATTAGTTAGGTTGTGCCCCGCTCTCCCCTTTGTATGATGTTATAACTCACGTTTTTTTTTTGTTCTTATTGTTTTTACAGTATGTGTTAAGAATTTTTTTAAATATATATATATTGCAGTGTGTCTTCTAATTCCATGGTTGATGGGCCAAATGTTTGGCACGATACAGACATAAAAACTAATTGACTGACAAACTTTAATTCTAAAGCATTTATTAGTAATGGCATTTATTTTTATAATGAATGCTAGACAGGATACAACTTTGACAGGTTATGAGTGGGTGTGTGTATGTGTAAGAGGGCGAGAGAGCTTGTGTGTAAGATACATACAGTATTCAGCTGACACACTTGTGGGATATGTGTCTCCGTTGTGTTAGGTGACTAAAAGCAGAACCGAGACCGCAACCTTAAAGTCACACAACCAGGCCTCGGCCGTCTCCGCTGCTCTGTGATCTGCATGTTTAGAGCGGCCACTCAGGGATCCGCTGGGAAGGGGAGTGTTATTTAATCACTGGACAACAACAAAACACCCACCCACCCACCCACACACACACACACACACACAGACACACACACACACAGTAGAGCTCACATTCTCCTAAGTGGTGAGTCAGGCCTGCATGTTGGGTGTTGTTGGAGGTTTCCTGACCTCTTAGTGTGGACAGAAGCAGGAGGATGGACACGGTGAACAGCTGAACAAAGTGTAACAGAGATCCTGAGCAGTCATGAGTATCAGACATGTTACCAGGAGACCATTTACCTGTGGACGAGATGGAGGAACAGAGCAACCTGACTAAAGGCAAGTACTGAAATAAGCTCCAAAGGCAGTCTGCTTTTCTTATATACATATACACTGCTGCTTTGGCCACTTGTTTTTAAGCTTCAACTAATAAACAAAGGGCCAATATTTTGTGCTGCTATTTATTATCTGTAAGGTTTATCCTTTTTATCCCAACAGTATTGAAGAGTTTCCCCAAGAAACTTTACACTGGGCAAAAACTCTAGGTGGTAAAAATAAATGAAAAAAATCAAGGGACAGAAAGAGTCAAATTAATTTAATTCAAGGGTTAGAAGTTCTTTAAGGCATGAATTACTACTGTCTTGCAGACTTTTTATGTAGGTGTGGTCAATGAGAAATTTGTCATATCTTTTGATAGCCTTTCAGATAACGTGACTCTCTTTTAATGTGTCTCAAGGTAGTGCGTCTTTAAAATCAGCACGGGAAATCCTTTCAGCACTTGACCCTGTTAGCAGAGGAAATACCATCCCCACTGACCTCATCAGCAGTAAGTGGAAACTGTGAGACCTGCACAGTAAACAATACATCAAATTTTATGATTTGGTTTGACTGGAAAACAAATCAGTTTTATTAACGGGAAGAAGAGTTAGTAAGAAGGTACAGTATGTAAGTTTGAAGTCCAATTAAAGGTTTTGACATGGGTTCCCTGTCTTACTCTATATTCTACTTAACTGAAACAAGTTCCCTACCAAATTACAATGAATCAAATTACAAAACCCCAACATCAAACAAACCAATACACACTGAGCATGGGTCTTTTGGGGACCCTGGCGATCTGGTGGCCATGACACATTTTTACATTTTCAAATCCTTAACAAATACCAAAACAGCTAGAAAAAATGATAAATTCCTGGTTGCAAAACAAGACTCTTGCGCTCATAAACTGTTTCACACTTACTAGTCTGTCCCTGTAGCACTTTTTCATTTTAAATTCTAGATTGATTACACACTGACTTCGCTTTGTGCAAACTCAGACGTTTTATCATTAAGGAATCGCCATTCTATCAATGTTCTGTGTTGTGTTGCCCAGCCCAGCCTCCGCCTGCTGCAGCCCCACCAGCGGAGACCCTGCAGGAGGCAGCAGGATTTAAGAAGCCTCAGTGTGACCTCCAGAAGCCCACCTGCCCGCGATGTGGCCTCACAGTCTCAGATCACAGACTCCCCCCTCTCTCACCGGGCCTGAGCCGACTGCAGGGCTCCAGCTTGTCTGTGCACAGCAGCAGCAGCAGCAGCAGGAAGAGCAGGACCAGAAGCAGGACCAGGAGCAGGGGCAGTGTGGCTGGTTCACACCAACATACTGCCACACCTGCTGGTAGGCCAACAATGTGGTTCTAAAAACTGAAACTGTTAATAGGACTGGACAATGTGACTTAAATTTGATATCACAATAAATTGTCAAATTTATCTTGATAACAATAGTATAAGATAAGTAAATAGGACTGATTGAATCCTTTTATCTTGTTTAAGGGGAGAACATGAACAGTGGGGAAACATTACAAGCGATGAAAACTGCACCGAACCAGTTTCAGACGGTGTTTTTTCCCCTCACCTGCCCCCAGGGGCAGCAGTGGGACCACACTTGAAAACAAACTGGAATAAGTCACACAAAAGTGAGATTTACACTTTTAAGACAAAAGGATTCACAAGGATTTAACAGTTGGTAAATATATTCTTCAGCTTATCACTTCCATTCCAGTCACACAACGTTTCCTATGCAAACCTACTCTGCAAAAGGTTAAAAATCTACCAGTTTCTACCAGTTATCTAGCGGCGGGTCACATATTTAAATGTATTTCTGTGATCTTACAGATGTCTACAGTCAAATCATAAAATGTTTTTTTCCTGAGGTAAAATTCAGGTTCAAATCCGACCATTTCCACAAACTGTGCTGTTCTGTTCTGCTCGCTGTGGCAGGCAGTCAGCTAGTGGCTTTGTGCAGACAATAGACATCAATGAAATCATGATAAATACCATTGTAGATGCAGTGGATGAGGAGTTCCCAAAGTGGGCAGTGGTTGTTTTATCTATCCTTAGTTTAATTTCATGGAATCAAGATTATTTACTTATTGACAACTGAGACAAGAGTAAATTTAGCTTTGTAAGACTTTCACATATCTGTAATTCAATACATTTGGTTTATTATCCAACCTTATTAGTTAAAATGTGAAAGCATAAAAAAACATTGTGTGAAACATATACATTCGAATGATTTTTCTGTCACCACCGAAGACAATCAATCTGTTTATACAAATGGAGCTCTAAAAAGTTTCCCTTGAAGACTTTCAAACTGCTGCACTTTATTCCAGTTTTATCAAAGCGTGCAGTGGACCACTCCTTGTTTATCATTGTGTTATTTCTATGAAGTTATACATTAAATCAATACAGTGGCTACACATAATGCTCACTTTTCATCTACACACAGATAGATATCAGCATAAGTTATATGTGGGGGGTGTATAATTGGAGCGGCTAAGCAGGAAAATGCTGAACCTCACTCCCCAGGGAATTCTGCCATCTCCTTTTCATTTACTTTCTTGAGTAAACAGGATAAAACAGCTCAATTTGCATGAGCTCTCACTATCTGGTTCTTGTGAGGATGAAAAACGGTAGCTGAGTAATAATACAATGGTTGGGATCGCGAGAGATGCACTGTAACACACCAGTGGGGTTAATGTATGCAATTTCATCTGCGCCTAATTTGGGTGGGAGCGCAATTATCTTGTGACAGCTTCTTCCTAGTTGTTGCTCATCACTGGCAGCCTCTGTGGCCTTTTTTTATTTTCCCCCGAGGACTGAACGATGCTCTGTGATTAAGTAAACACAATCCCACTTGATCACTGCAGCAGAGTAGTATCTCTTTTAAGTCCTAGTTCTAGGTATAATAAACATGCAAGAGATTAATTTAGGGTTAATAGAATCGTTAATCCCCATTTCTGATGGTGTCTGACAGGCTTTTAGAACATACAACAGCTTTATTGTGACCTCAGATGTGATATTTGTTGCTAAATCACTTCCCCCACAGACTCCTGTTTACAGCTGTTGCTGGCGTGCCTGTCGTGCCAGGGCTCCGTGCTGCTCCTGGGTCTGTTGGAGGCCTGTTCCTCTTGCCTCCACACCCTCTGCTCCTCCTGCTGCCATGCGTGCAGCCGCTGCTGTTCGGCCATCCAGGACGCGCCTGTGGAGGAGCTCAACTGCCATGCCCACTGCCACTCGGTGCTGTTTGAGTCTTGTTGTGAGCCAGCTGAGTGTCTTGAGTTTTGTCTGGAGTGCTGCGAGATCTGCCATCGTAGCTAGGAGGCAGCCGGACCACTACGCCTGAGGACTAAAAAGGCATGTGACAAGACTAAAAAAAAACAGACATTAAAACCACGGAGGGATTCATTAGCACTACAATGACATTTCTTGTGACTTATTGACCTTGTTGTGACCCTCAGAGTTGTGAACAGCACAAACAGACCGTTTGCTAAGCTGAGCTATACAAAGAAAATCTTGGGAAATACACTTATTGGCTTTTTTGCCCGAGAAGGCCAATTCCACTCGTTTCTGTCTGATAAATGTGAAGCTACTGCAAAGAGACAATTAACTTTTCTTAGCACAAAGGCTGTCCAATGGCTGGCTTTGTCCAAAAGTAGAAAATCTACCTACCAGCACCTCTAAAGCTGCTAATTAAACATTATAGCTAGTTGTTTAATTAGACCAAGAACCAAAAAGTTGTGGTTTCAATGAGGGTTATTTGTTGGACTTTTTCTTGGCGTGGAGCATTGTTTTCCTGGAGTCTTATCATAACTATGAGGTTACCAGGCCAGCTGTTTCCAGTCTTCATGCTAAGCAAAGCTAACTGCCTTGTGGCTCCAACTCTGTAACGCACAGTTATGATAGCATTGTCAGTCTTCATGTCTAACTCTCTGCAATAAAGTAAATTCATGTATTTCCCAAATTATTCCTTTGACATCTGTGCTTTCTCAGCTCATTGCAACCACATTGACAAGAGGAAGGAATAGATGAATTATTTATCGAATGGCTGATATTGTGGAAAATAGATTCAAGGACCTTTTGAAATATTAAAAGAAATTTGTCAAGGTCATTTATTCTGCTCGTTAAATCTCTTTGGATATCCGGGATGAACAAAATTAAAGCCAGTGTGGGACTCATTAACACTGTAGTGCTGTTGTTCTTGATCGCCTTGCTGAACAACCAAATGGTAATTTTTTTTAAATAAAGGAGCACAGATAGCTGCAATGCAGCATGTACAAGCTAAAGTGCCTTCAAGATTCAGGTTTTATTCCACAGAAATGCCTTTTGTTTGTACATTAAGTTGCATCTAATAACTTTGACTCTTCAAGACCCTGAATGAGAGGGGTCTACATCTTTGCTTAGTTTTGTGTGGGTTCTCATGTTATAAGATTGCAGGTTTGACTTCTCCCTGCACAGCTCTTTGCAGCTGAGGAATGGGGCAACAAAAAACTTGTCAGCTCTGTCTTGAATCCCTTTTCATATTTGTCATATAAAGCACTTAGAACATAAAAGGATGCTTATTCTCTCCAGATCTTGGAAGATCGAAGCCGGCTCCTTTAAAGTCACCGTGTGAGATGACAGCAGAGAGGCAGAGTAAACAGCCAAAAATAAAACAAAGCGGCGATAAAGACAACGCTGTCAATCTGTCCGGGCGAGCCAAGAGGCTCATTTAAATCATGTTAAAGCGAGTAAATCGAATTTAAGTATCTCTTTTGCCCACAACACATTTGGATTCTGCTAGTGACAAGACAGCGGTGACGTCTAATTTAGAGCATGGCGAGCATACACCAACAAATAAACACTCAGGTTTGTTCCACTTGTCCCCCTCAATTTGTTATACCCTTTACCCACAGCTGAAGTCTACCGCCACAAATCACAAACAGCTGATATTGTCAGAGTGAATTCAGAACCTACATACGTTGCAGCCAGACAGCAATACATTGTTTCACGATGGATGAATATATTTGCCTTTGAGTTTTGATCTGAAATCACCATTGAAATTAATGATTTTGAAATTTGAAAATGATGCCACCTAGATGACAGTACCATTGCTTCTCATTTAATGGTGGTAAAAACAAAAACAGTAAATGACTTAGATGACTTTTGGTGACATAAGATGCTAGAATGAAAGTTTTTTATGAATTGATTTAACTGAACAATAATTACAATATTAATAATTTAAGTCAGTTTTCAAGCAAATATGCCAAATATTGTCCAGCTTCTCATTTGTGAAGATTGGCTGCTTTTCTTTCTTTTAGGTGATGATAAGCTGAATATCTCTGGGTATTGTTGGACAATTGCCATGGGAGTTATTTTTCTGACATTTTATAGATCTACCCAATTATATCATAAATGTAGAAAATAATTGGCTGATTAATCAATAATGTAAAATTACATCATTAGTTGCAACTGTAAACCACTGTGTTTGTTATGAATCATAAAAAAGCAAATGTAGAAAGAAGGGGTAATGAAAAATGAAAAAGAAAAAACAAGTTGCAACTGGCATTATACTATAATTATCATATCTGATCCCTATTGATACTCTATTTGGGATAAATTTTAGGCCTAATTTATTTATTATTTACACAACAATATTTTATCTATGCACTCATGTACAACCTCCAGCAGGACTGTAGCTTCCACTGAGGACACTGAGGTTGTGTTCTCTTTTTATTTTGTATTAAATTTGTTTACAAATGTAAGTGGAGTTTACGTTCTACAATTCAAAACTTACACATGATTGGTGTTTTATAAGCGGATTCAAAAATTTGATTAATCACGTTTAAATTTGAAACCCTTTAAGCCAACAAAATAAGGAAAAATGTCTTTGAAACACTATTTACACAAGGGCTCTCAAACCCAAACTACCTGGGTACCTGGCTAGTTTGCTCTCATCCGCTTCAACACTCGAGTGTTGTTGTTTAAATTTTAAGTATAACCACTCTGAGGCTATACAGCATGTCGTTCCCTTTCCTCTCCTGTCATACTGCTCTGCATGTTTAGCAATCCTGTCTATGATTGTATCACTATTAACTTGAACTTCTCCTTGTAGACGAGACAGTCACATTAAAGAAATCCAAAAAATATTAAAGATTTATCAGCCATCAACCTCTCTTGAAACGGTCTGTCTTCCAGTTCAACCTTTTGTTTTGTCCAGTTAAGTCGTTAATCAAGAAAGCGTCACTTTAGAGCAATGTGCACTGTGTAAAATCAACTTGGGCAGTTTGGCACATTTTACAAATGCTTAAATGAAAAATAAAGAGACAATTTCTGTGCTCTGATTTTTCCACCTTGCTAGAAAATTTAATCCTTACTGTAAAATCAATGGGTGGGGAAATATCAACAGCAAATCTACCCACCCTCTTTGGTCCCCCCAAAAAGAATAAAGAAAATAGAGAAGGGGGTGGGTTTAGATCTTCATGTTGGGAAATAACATTTACATTAAATTAATATATAAAGAGACCATTTTGGTTTCTGGTCAAAATGTTCTGAGAGGAGCAACATGTTTGACTTTTCTTATATTGTTATCTTGTGTCATAATTTCATTTGAGCGACAGTCATTTAAAGTCTGAAAAATGGATTTGAACATTCATTGTAGCCAGATTTATAAATAAAATGGCCTGTTCAGTTGACAACCCCATCATGCGTCGGAGGCTTGAGGTTGAAAACCGACACCTTGTTTTTCTAACAGTTGTTGGACTGGCAGTCTGAGATAATAAGACTGGGCATCAGAGATGGAGGATGACCCAGTGAGGAGCGGTTTGTTTTAAAACTGAGTTGCTTTTCAAAAACAACCCTTTCAACACTTTTTATTCAGAATCTGTCTCTTTGTATTCTCATCTGCCTCCAAAGCTTTATGACAATGGTTGTAACCTCCTCAATCAAAACTAGGTTTACGTGTAGTGTATGAAGAGCCGTCTATTGAAAAAAGGGGAAATAATAACACCTAATAGTCAGTCTGTCAGAAGTGCCCATCTGCTGTAAAGGAAACAAAAATAAATGTAACCAGATTTGAATATCTAACATTTGAGGCTGACGCAGAGAGGACGGATCAAAGGGAAGAGAAACACAGCAGAGGGGGGCAATCATAAACACATTGTCTCATTTTAATAAGTGAGGGAAACAGTTTCTAAACCAGCGCATACCATCAGGTTTCATGTGTTTGGGAGTACGGGGGAGTAAAGTACATCAAAACATATCTAATGAGGGCTGGGGCATGAAATATTGATGGCAAGCTGCATTTATATCTTGGATATAAGATACATGGAATCTAAAACTGCAGAATAAGGAGTGATTCAAACAGAGGCCAGTTCTGCTACTGTTACTGCTCCTCTTAATTTAATAAAGAAATACTGAGCACAAATGTAGTTTTCTGCTTGTTTTTAAGGCTCATCATCTGATTATAAGCACTCGAATAAGTTACATTGACTTTTAGTATTTCTATCAAATGTCATGCTTAAGTTTTATGCATGTTTATTTTTATTAATTATAATTTATTTTATTTTCTTGTCTCAGCATGTCCATATCCCATGTTGGATTTTATCTGTTTTTTTCTTCATCTTGTTTTGTCAATATTTGGACAAGTATGTAATCTTATTCAGAACGTATGTATGTTGTTGAGGACAGGTTAAAATCAAATTACATCAGTCACATTTACAGCAACATTTTACTCAACTTAAGTTGCCAGTGGTTCATACATTCAAAATCAACCTAGTTATAAAGTAGCAGTTAAGTGTTAAGTGGGGATTCAAGCATCACTAAATTTAAGTGAGGTTGCACCACACAAACTAATTCTTACCTAGAGATAAGTTAATACATATTTACCCCCAATAATTGCCAACTGACAAAGCTAACATTAGCTTGCTAATATATGACCTATTTAGAGTGAAGAGATAACAGTGATAATAATAAAAACAAATCTGACATGACACTTGATTAAAATGCTGTTAAAAAAATTAAGTAAACTGGGAGATTTTAAATCACATCTCACAAAAATAACACTTTAAATTACAAAACTAATGTTAGAATCTGAAATTTCCCACTCACTGCATGAATACTACCATCTGTGACACACATTTCTTCATAAATATACTGTATAAATAAAATAGTCATCTTCCAGTCTTTTGTAATTGTATAAGTTCAGTAAATCATTTTCCCTCCTAAATCTGTTATTTACTTACAGCTTGACATGCTCCAGTAAATTGCTTTTGATATAGTTAATTGCTTTTGATTGGAGAGTAATACGGATATTTCCTGGCAACTGATTTAGGCATTACTAAATTCTTTACAATCTACATAACATATTATATTAATATTACAGAAATTGCAATATGGTCAAGTGCAATATCCAAATTGCAGGAGCTGCAGTTTTTTGATAAAGGTCAAATGTGTCACAACATACCATTATAAATTAAGCATTATGCCTATATTGTACATCCTGTTCTTCAGATGTTTGGTACAGACACCAACAAAAAAAGACAATACAATACAATCATAATTTTTTTTTTCTTTCAGTGAAAATGAAATGCAATCCCACTAAAATTGTGACTCATATTGAAATTGCAATAACTATTAAAATAACTGCAGTTTGATTTTTTGTATATCCTCAGCCCTATTTTGAACCCGCTACAATATAAGTTACTAAGAAATTAGAAAGGAACTTACACAAATTTAGTGATGGATTTACAAAAAAGATGATATAACCTTAGTCACTTTATTTCTTTCCTTTCTCATGTCCACTTGGTATCCAGACATAATACAGCTCATTCAAGTTCAGGTTTTTGTTTTAACTGTTTTATTTACAACTTTAGAGTCTTCTGTGACATACAGGCGTCATAAATATTTTCCTATATGTATATATGTATTCTGTTACAGTTTTTATAAGTAACAAAAAACAAAACAAGCATGTTTCCCTTTTGGTGGCCCTAAAGGCAAGCAACCAATGGTTTGAATGACAGTTGTACAAATGAAGTCACCCTGTTTCAATAGCCAGAGTATTCCAGCTCGTCTTATTCAAGTATATCATGTTAAAATAAAAAATAATAAATAAAATCATCATCAACACAATACTCAACGAGTCTACTAAATTAAGGACCAAGACAGATATTGCACCATTTGATGGCACGTACCGGGTAATATCTTGGCAAAATTATTAATGATGCATACATCAAATACTTAAAAATTAAAATTTAGCAACACCAATATTCACATAACAAAATCCAAACCACAATTCTGTATACGTATTTTATACATATACTATGTCTATATAGACATAGTGCTAAACAAAAAAGTTACAGATCGGATACAGAAAAGAATTAATCAGAAAGAACAAATACTTTTGAGGTGCTCTCTAATTATAATTTTATATATATATATATGACTCATGCCCTTTGCTCCTGAGTGGTTAAGTGCAATGTGCATTATATTTGCTTTTGTGAAAAGAAGGGAGAGTGAATACGTACAAAGTTGGAGTGTTGGTGTAATATGACTAGGCAGTGGCTTTGGCCTTATTGTTGGTGCAGTCGGTATTTAAATGATTGTAATGGCTGAAATACAACGTTTGACTGCCAGCAGCTGTGATGAGTGTTCAAATCATATTATTTTTCTTTAGTACTTCCAAGTACTGCTGTGTCGCCCTGCTGACGGGGTCTAGCTTCTCCCTCGAGGCAGAGCCCACTGGTGACATACGGGCTGAAGCAACGTCCAGCTCTGCTGTGGCTGAGGACCATAGAGAGACAACAGTCTACAAGTCAGATAATGCCACTAATCTAATAAGGCCGCTAAGATATGAGATAAGATTTGTGCCATGTTTCCAGCCTCAGTGCACTCACCGTTGTTTAATTCCTTTGATATGTTTCTATCCAACTCAGTCTGCATCTGGAAAAAAAAAGTTTATTGTGAATTATATCAGCTAACAAACATAAATAAATGTACACATGTAGAAAAATAAGATAAAGGGATGATATTTCACAATACTACGGTAAATGACAAATGACAAGTACTTGAATAGTGGAAAAAACACTGCAAAAAATTAGGAGTGTTATGTGAAACACAGCAAGACAAGCCAAGCATGGAAGCTCTGCTTCAGTGTAGAGTTTCTGCAGGCTATCTGATGTTGCCTTTTAAACCTGAGTCAGTATAGTCAACTGATGTCAGATTTCTCCCTCAATGAGACAAATCGTCATTTTAACAAACAACAAAATCTTACAGTAAATAAAAATTTTCTTAAACTAACAACGCAAATACAAATGTCTGCTGTCTAGGAAAATGGTACTATTTCTCTGCTAATTGTAATTATTGCAGAATTTAATGTATTGAACTATACACACGCAGATGTGCCTGGACACACACATACATTATATACTGTATGCATGTGTAGCATTCACACACACACACACACACACTTTTCTGGATGGGTAGAGGTACTTAAAGTATCTTACTATATATAATCACATAGTTCTGCTTAACTTCTTTACTTTAGCTTAAGTCTTAAGGGAGATCTGTCTATTTTTCAGTAAAAATTTTTTTCCAAACTATATTTCTCTTCACATTGTCTTTGTCATAGGTGCAAGGTAAGGTGTACGGCCATAAAACTGCTGCTGTGCTGTCTTGTGTCAGACAACACATTTTATTCCGATTGATAATTAGATGTAGGTAGGCTTTTTTCTGTTAAGTTCTTTAATGCATGCTTGAAATGGATGTACGACAAACTTCATATAAACTTTTTACATGAGGACATTTATTTAATAAAACGGGTGGTGTTTAACTTCAATCTTAAAATCAGCTTTGAATACACCACATCCTCTGTACTGGCCAACTTCAGAGCATGGAGAAAGTCAACTCAAAGCAGAGAATCAACAAGGGTTTGAGATTTCAGGTGTCACTTGGGTAACCACACAATGCAAAACCCAGAGTTCCCGCACATTTCACCAGTTCAGTTCTCACTGTTATTCTTGGATTTTTCATTCACATTTTTTGTAACCTCAACTTATTGACTCTTTAATTTATTATAATATTTGTCATATCCGTTTTGACAATCTGTTATTTCAGTTACAATACCAACTGTGTGAACCACTTAAGTAGGTAATTCCTGAAAGATGAACCAGGAAAAAGCTGTGATAGAAATGTAAAGTAGAGTTGTAACTTTCACTTTTATTTCCAATTAAAGTCATCTGATTTAATAACAGGGTTACAATGTCTTCGGAACGCAGTATTAGGGAAGCTCAGCAAATACATAAATATTCTGTAAGTTTGCTAGGATTCCCAAAACTTTTACATCTGTAGTTTTTTCACCATGCGAACCCTGAACATCTTGGTTTGCATCACAGAGCCATAAATGTAGGCCTGCCAGCAGGGTGAAGAGAACAGCAGCCAATCAGGTACTGAGCTTAACACATCTACAAACCTGGTTATGGGTCTGGTTGAAGAGAAGAGAGATGAGAGACAGACTTTTGAGCTAGCAGCTAAAAGAGTAAGAAATAGAAGACAGGTTAGAAGTAAAGTCCCACTACCATAAAGACTAGAGATAGAGTGAAGAAGAAACAATGTGGAGGCGGGAAAAAACTGGGAGAAGAAATTATTGGTATTCTTGTAGAGGGAAGATAGATGTCTGAGAATTTAGAGAACCATTATATGTGTAACTGTCACGCATAATACAGTTATGACAACATAACAACGCACTAACTTATGTATAAAAAGCAACATCTTTGAACAAACCACCACCATTTAAACATTAACAACACAGACAACCATGACGCTATGGAAATGAAAATGGCCCAAAGTATATAAACTTGTCTACATAAAGAATATTCCTCTGTAATCTCCATGAGTGAATGAGTGTGTTAATTAATTACTGAACAGACCTTCGCTAGGTAGTCCTCCACCCTGTTGTTCTGTCCCTCAGTCACAGGGCTGAGGAGGGAGAGGCCCAGGCCTAGGCTCCTGTTGAGGGGCCCTAGTGTGGCCCCATAGTTTGCTGGTGAACCTAAAGAGCTCACGTCCAGTGTGGGCCCTCCAAAGCTACCGTTTACGATGCTGCTGTTGATCAGAGACCTGCTGCGCTCGTTGAGCAACTTGGAATTGGCTTCTGCGAGCCGACTGTTGGCCCTGACGGAGAAAACACAGCAAAGGTTAGTCCTTGATAACGATACACGTTTGTCACCATCGGCACTGTCTATGTCTGATTACATCACAGATATCAGGTATTAAAAGATTGATCAGAGCATCCCCTCTACCTCACTGAAAGCCTGGGACTAAACTGTTAAAATGCTGGTCTCACCTCTCTAGTTTGGCAGCCAGGGACTTGCGGAGGCGCAGCTCCTCTGTGTAGAGTTGGCGGTATCGCTCTAGCTCTGTGCGTGTGCAGTCTCTTTGGTTGAGGCTGTCCCGCTGGGTGGTGCGGGCCCGGCACAGTTCCCCCTCCATCTCCTGGATCTTCTGCTCCAGCTGGGAGCGCAGGTTGGCCTCGTTGGCAGCTTTCATTTGATCCAATGCTTCTTGGGAAGCTGCCTGGGACTGGGCGACAGACAGACACAACCATATGAAATCAGACTTAGTGATGTTTTTAATCTATATGTACCAAGCTTCCAAAGTCAAACTAAACTACACACCAATTAATTTATTCAGTACATTTTTAGAATCTCATTTCTTATTCTGATTAATACGTGTGAATCACATATTTGCTCAGTAACGCATGTTCAGGTTTGTTCATATTAACCAATAAAATTCACCCAACAGAATGTTTACCTGCAGGAAGACATTGACCTGCTCCAGCTTCTGTTGTATCTCCTGACGGGCCCTCTCCTCTGCGTCACGGCGGTACTGCTCCACCTGGCTCTGCTCCATCTGAGAAGCCTCCATTCGGCGTCTCAGGTCCAGCACCTCCTCCTCCAACTGTCTTTTACTCCTCTCCAGCTGGTCATTACTGCGGCTCAAGCTCTTTAGGGAGGCCAACTGATCCTTAAGCTCCCCATTCACCTTCTCTAGTTGGCTACGACGGGATGCTTCCTTCTCCAGCTGCACTTGCAGATCGTCCACCTAGTGATGTAAGAAAGGCAGAGGAAATGTTTGAGGCCAAGGTCTAACAGCTGAGGTGACCCTCAAGGAGTCTCTAAAGACAAAGTTTCAAACTCTGCTATTAGTAGTAGTATATTATTTGGTGGTTTATACCAAATCACAGTATGTATCAGACAGATAAACCTTTTCTTTCATTCGTCCAAAGGCACCATCGGCCTGGCTGTGTCTGCCTAGATCCATCCGCAGACTGCTCATAGGAGAGGCAAATTCAGCTCCACCCACGTCCTGCTCTCGCAATTTCTTCTTTGCAGTCTTTAATAAAGTACGCAACCTTAAAACACATGCACAAAAACATGAAGTGAACAAATGAATAAAGACAATTTTCACAGCTCACAAACCTGCCCTCTGCTAATAACTATTATTCCAAACTATATTTCTCTTATTACTGATATGCAGCACAAAGATGCAACCAGTTTTGATTACATTTAACTAATTTGTACTTGTAAATGTGACATGTTCAGATTCAAAACCTATCAATACAACACATATGTTACACATGTCACAGATTCAAAATGAATGTTAATCCTCAACAGAATAAGAATAAGATACATTAAAGAATAAGAAACACAAAATCAGCCACAATTAAGCGGATTACAAAAACACAAGACACACAAGCACTGCAGAGACTTATTAAACATTAAAAGCAGTTGAGCTAAAAAAAAAAAACCTGAAAAAAGTACAACCTTACACACATTGGTTCACCACAGCCACATAAGCCAGGTAAGACTGCGCTCTACTGGATCCTACTTGTGTCTAAATAGTAGGAGGAAGTACTGCCACAGGTGAGGAGAGCGCAAGGAGGACGTTAGGAGTCACCTGTACATTTCTTTTTGAAGCTCTGTGTTTCTCTTCATCTCTTGATCCAGCCGGGTATCTATAGCTTTCTTCTGCTCCGCTATTTTCTTGGCTTTCCTCTTTTCTATTTCCATCTGGAACACAGGCAAAAGGCTGATAACTCTTGAGACCAAGGCCATGGTATATATTATCATCAGGAGAGACAGCTACTTAATTCATCATAACATTAGCCTGCACATGAATGCATCACTATGATCACCTGGGTGCTCAGTTCTCCTTTCTCCTTTTCAAGCTCTGCCAGGCGCAGTCCTAACTTAGAGCGGCTCTTCAGCTCCTCCTCCCACAAGGCCTGGGAGTCCTGGGCTGTGTGAGACAGCATGCTTTGCTTCTGGACCTAAGAAAGAGAAAGACAGAGGCAAGATTTACTGTATGTAAAGAAGTGAATATTTATAAAAAGAAGTAAGCTTGTTACAATGATCACATTTGTTCATCTTACCTATGAGACATTCTGTCTCAAATTTGCTGTAAAAAGGTGGCATATTTCTCATTTGTTTTTTATCTATATTCTTTTGTTAGAACTGCAGTTCAGTTCTAGAGAAAATATTTGACTGAATGTAAGTATGTAACAGAAGGTCTGAAAAGACTAAAAGGTGAAACTGGTTCTTTTTTTTTTTCCAGAAAGAGAAACAATTTGCTTCAATAGTTTTGTTTTTGCCTTATTCATGATGTACATGCCACTGCTTCTAGAAACATTCAAAATAAAAACAGTTTGTTCAAAGCTTCCCTAGGGGCTACATTTCTGTTTTATGTATGAACTGAAAAAAGTATGGGTTTACAAGGTCTGTTTCTATAAGTAATAATTAAAAGGTATCATAAAAGAAAATATATCACTGTCTAAACACTCCTCAGCTGGCTACTTTTCTCATTTGGTTGGCTACTCAGAAATGTCGGACGTCCCTGATCAGACTGATCTCAGGTGAATTACATACACAAAGACTAGAAAAGAAAATGAGAGGAAGAAATGAAAATCTAAACTGAAGAGTTAGACACAAAATTAGCCACCAACCTCTCTATTGAGTTGGTCTTCCAAAGTCATCTTACTGCTTTGAAGGTTTGTAACCAAGTCCTCCAAATGACCTTTGACCTACAGCAATAAGACAAGCATTGTAACAGTGAATAACACAGGTCCTTTAAATTTTTTTCTTTATCAATTTAAAAAGTTGAGAAGACACTTTATACCAAAGGAAGTAGCATGCATCATGCAGCTTTGAGGCAAAAAGTAGTGAAAGTGACCCCGCAAACCAAGATCAGGCTTAAAAGAGAAAACACATTTTGACGTCACCAAGAAAACCCCAAACAGACATAAAGTTATTATTTTTCCCATATGTTTGGATTCCTGGTCTAGCAGCTTGTGCAGACAGCCAGCAAAGCCCAAGTGCATTTCATTTTGTAAATATGTATGATTTTAAGATTTTTGTTAATTTATATTATTTTTGAGAAAACAGAGGTTAACCCACACAGACAAACTAAGCCTACATCAACAATACCAACCCCTCCTCCAGGTGAGCAGTCAGATTGCTGGAAAAAGATTCAATATCTTAATATGTAATAATGACTTCATAATGTGGGTCAGCTATGTGATTTTGAAGAGACTTCTCTAAGTATCACAATGCTGAGTTAAAGTCACAAAAAAAGTAGATAGGTAGATCCTGTGTAAAGTGTAAGCAAGTAATAGGATTAGGTTTGCAGCACTCACCATGGCAGCTTCCTGAGCCCCTTTCTGAAGTGCATCAATTTTGTTGGACTGTTGCTTTGCAGCAGCTTCTAGCCTGGCGTTCTCTATCTCCAGCCTAATGTGACATTACATTGACACTCTGCATCAGAGACACTCATATTCTATATTTCAAAACATATCTACAGTCATGTCTGAAAATGCTTTTAACATATGTTAGTGTTAATTATTTCTGTGTTATGGAACTGGCTTATCTTTTTAACTTTATATTACAATTAATTTCACAGTATTCATTCGTAGATGTGATATCTACTAAAATAAAATAAATTGATCAATCTTTCAGTCCCATGTGTGTGTGGACAGCATGTGTTTGTGTATTTGTATACCTTTGCACAGCTTCCTCCAACTGTTTGATGGTGGTATCAGAAGCTGCTGAGGCAGACAGCGCCACCTGGAGTTTCTGAGCAGCAGTGTTGAGTTCCTTTTCCTTTTCATCCAGACTGCTCTTCAGACTGTTAATACGTCTCTCAGACTGCACATACTGGTCTTCGCTTTCCTCCAGCTACATGACAGAGACAAAGCATCCACCTCATCAGCAAAGTTAACATTTGGTTCAGGGATTATAGGGGGTGAAAGTTATTACTGCTAATGACCAACTGCTCTATCACCTAAAATACTATACTAAAATGTTTAAAAATGCTAAATAAACAAACTAACAGTGATAATGAACCATCTAATTTCAGTACAGCTTAAATTGTTTGCTTCATAATCATTAAAACAGCTTGTCTCAGAGACATGGCGAGAATATGAGGTCACAAGGTGGCACTGTTCCCTGCCGTTACCTTTCCTTTGAGCCTGTCCAAGTCTTTAAAGAGCCGAGCCTTCTCCTCCTCCAGGTCATTACGATAGCGTGTGTTGACCTCCAGAGAAGCTTCACTCATTGACAGCTTTTTGAGAGAGTCCGCTAGCTCCTGCTGCAGCTGTCTTACACTAGTCTGTGCTCAAACAGAATCCAAAGAAAGCATGGTTTGGTTAGATATAAAGGGAGATCCTTAACTGGCATGTGGACAAAAGGCTAAAAGTGGGTCTGGAGGAAGAGGTTAGGGTAATCCTCTTACCCTGCAGAGTCCTAATCTTACCTCTCTTTCGGTCTTCTCTTCTTCTAATTTGTAGATCTGATCTCGGAGATCTGCAGCCTTACTGGCAAGCTCCTTATTTCTCTCTTCCACTAGTTGTACTCTTTCTTCACAGTCAGAGCGCAGCTTGGACAGAATGTCACTGAAGCGCTCTTGGGCATCTGTCACAGCACGCTCCTTTGCGACACCTTTGTTTTGGGCCTCCTCTAGCTGTTGACGCAGCAACATGCTCTCACTCTGCGCTTGGGCTAGCCGTTCCTGTGTGGCCTCTTGGCGTGCTCCTGAACGGCTGACCAGCTCCCTCTCAGCCTGCAGAGTAGTTTCTAGCTCCTTGACACGTACAGCTGCCTGGTCCTTCTCACGCTGTAGGACCTCCAGCAGTAGGCCTTTCTCCGTCAGCTGCAGTGTGACCCTGTGAACTTCATTCTCCATGCTGTTTGCACGAGCCTCTGCCTTGGCCAGCTTCTGGGACAAGCTGCTGATTGCCTCACGTTGAGTGGCTGATTCACCTGTAGGAATAAATACATCAGGGGTTAAGCAAAAAGATTGCACAAAAAGATGCACAAAACAATAAGCAGCTTACAGTTTAATACAAGCAACACAGCCAGTGTGGACCATGGTGGGAGGTGGAACTGGCCCTGACAGAGCAACTCGTCCAACAGCTACTCAGTGTCAGGGTAAAGAGTGATACTGGTTCAAATAGTTTTGTTTTAAACAAAAGGAAATATTATGCCAAATTAGGTCAGTGGTAACTGGGCATGTGCTATAGTCAAGCCCCTTTCACTTGATTTTCCCTGAAATGGATATAATATAAAGTGCATTTTAAGTCCATAAGGTGCACATTAGATATCGAACTGCTCTTCCAAGATGGTGTGCCTGTTTGATAAATAACTTCCAAGTCTCAAGCACAAAACACTTGCCTAGTAGGGCATAGGTGAGTGAGTGAGTATTATACAAAATTTGAGTTATTACAATTTTGAGCTTGGAGTTGACCATCTATTACTACCGCTACTAACCTGTGAATCTATCTTTAAGACGCTGGTGTTCCTCTTTCTCCCGAAGCAGAGCTCTCTCTGTGTCTGTGTGAGCTGCCAGGCAAAGCTCTGCCTCCTTTACAGCTCCAGCCAGGCGGGCACGAACAGACTCAACCTCTGACTCCAGTGTTTCACGAGTCTGCCTCTCATTTTCCAGGCGGGTTGTTGTTATGGCTAGCTCAGACTTCAGGGTGGTCACCTGGTTATTGCAGTTGAAGACAGTTTGGGTCAAGGCTTCACTACTGAGTTTGAGATCTCGCCGAGCATCCTCTAGCTGTTCCTTGAGGGCATCGTTCTCCTCCAAAAGATGACTCTCTTTGAGACTGCTATTGGCCTGCGAACGCTCGAGGTCTGTTCTCAGGATGGTCAGCTGCTCCTGTAAGGTAGCAGTCTGCTGGAGCAACTCCCTCTCCCTGTCACTGGCCTCAGTGAGCTGAGACAAGGCCTATGAACAACAGGGGAAAAAGTTAAGATTGCTTAGAGTCTGCATGTTTTCTTTTAAGATTTCAAAATGTATTATTAATTCAAAAAACATTTCCTCCATTACTGACACTATAGTACCCCACTCTTCTATTACAAATTCTAAATGTTCAAAACCTTAAACCTATCACACCCTTTTCTGTTAATTTCTAGCCACGTATAAAGAACAAAACATTAATGGGTGCTAACTGTTAAAATAGCATCTAAGAAACCATAAACTAATATGTTCTACAGTTATTGACACCACTGTGTAACGATTACCTCATTGCTTTTGTTTAGGTTTCTTTTGTTCTCATCCTCTATCTCTTGCTGCTTACGGAGATGACTGTTGAGCAGATTCTCCTGCAGCGTCCGAGCATTGCGCTCCTGAGCCAAAAGCCTCTGGGTCTCACTGTGGTCCTCTTCAAGCTGGGTGGGGGACATATAACCCATGCTTGTAACAATTACATGTACACCAAGCAACAACTGGATAAGCTGGCTACTGATAAAATGCTGTATAATGACAGTATTACTTACTGTACAACATACATAATGTTATGTGAAATGATCTAAACAACAGAACTAAAATAATTTAATATTGATAGTTAAATTATATCAATCAATATTAATACTACACAATAATAATACTAACATTAGCCAACATTAACACAAAAAAAATTTGGACAAACAACCTAGTGTACCTGTTTCATGTTGCTGACCAGTGTTCTCATCTCCAGCTCCAGATTCCTGAGCATGAGCTCCACCTTCTGTCTCTCCTGAACCTCGAACTGTTGCTGTTCCTCTGTCTTCCTCAGCTTATCTCTGGTGGTGTTGTACATCATGGTGGCGTTGCGGCGATTTTCCTGCTCCTGTTTAAGCTGAAATCTATACCAAGTGTAGGACATTAATTCATGTCAAGTCAAGAAATCAGAATACAAATCCAAAAAGATCCATGAAACAGCCGATCACATAAGATATGAGGCACAGAGATATTAGAAGAGACCAAGACCATGAAAAGAAATAGCAACAGAGTAATCTAGCTTTTGATAAAGTAGGATGTAGTTCTCACTTGAGGTTTGTGACTTCAGTCTGCAATTCCAGCTGGTTGCGCTCCAAGCTAGACTTTACATCTTTAACTTCCTCCAGAGAGCTCCTCAACTCCGCCCTCTCCATTTCCAGCTGGCTCACCTTGTCCGCCAGGTAGCCATGGCGACTTCTTACCTTTTGGATGGAGCGCTCATATTCATGGAAAATGTTCTGCAGCTTCACCATGCTTCTTGAGTCTGTGAGATATAATATGGCATAAGGGAGTGTTCCAGGTCTCATCACTTAATGAGCATCTACAAGATCTCCCTTTCAAATGTGGATTATGTAAATGTATTTAGCTAATTAAATGAACAAACTGATAAAGTTACAAAAGCATTAAAACACGTTTTTAATTTCTTTTTAAAACTCACCTCATTTATTTTTTATTAATTGTATTATATAAATTAGCTGAACTAGCAGAACTGGTACCCAAAGTGGTTGAGTCCAGCTTCTGAATGAGGAGGGATGCGTGACGATAGCCTGATGTGGGAGAGTCGATGTCATCTGTGGCTGTGTCCGATGACTGAGTGAGTTCATCAAAGTCTTCTGCCATTTCCACTTCTTCAGGGTTCTTAATATGGAAACAAAATGCAGTCTGATATATTATTCAGTTTCTCATCATGTATTGTGTACTCAAACTTTAGTTACAAAGAGAAATTGTGTTTTACCTCGCTTTTTTTCTGCTGCCCACTGGTTGACAACCTGAGCCCAACAAACACGAAGAATAACGGATTACATGGAAAACAGATGTGCATGTTCTCAAGCTTTGAGAGCTGATGGAAGTGTAATGGTATAATGCAGTATACTATTCGAGCTTTGGAAAATCAGTGGTTAATCATGCAACTATGTAGGGAGGAAAATAATTAAAATCCAGAAAAATTGCATCCCAAACATCACCCACCAAGAATATGGTAAAGGTTTAAACTGAACGCAAAGAGAACTTCCCCCTCTGTATATTCATTCAAGTTTGACAGCAGGAGTGGTATAGAAGTCTGCGTTTACAGACAATCTCTTATAACCTACCAAGACTCCAGTAGTGTCTCTTCCGATCCTCCTGTCTCCCCCCCTTTTACTTTTCTCTCTGTAAATTAAGATCTACAAGTTCTCCCTCGAGCGAATCTGTGACTGTTCACATCCACTCGCTTCTTTTCAATGACTTTGTCTGCAGTTGTGCTGCCTGTATAGTTGACTTTGCATTCAGTCTAAACACACCTTATGGGTTAGTGACAAGAGAGGTGAAATTGATACAAAAAAGTGGCATACTGCATATATACCTTCCTTCATCATCCGACACGTCACTTAAACTGCTATCGTCAAACACAGAGAGAGGGTCTCCATTAACATGGGTGTTGGTCTGAGGGGCTCTACTGCGCCGGGCCCCTCTGACCAGCTCCAGCTGTAAGATCTCCTCTACAGCTTGCCCCTCCTGTTTGTTGCTAGTGGAGGTCTGCTGGAGTGGGAGATGCAATTGCACTGGTGCCTCGGTGGTGCTATGGAGAGCAATAAACCTGGTTGTCAATGAGTTGTGACTATCTAAACTTTGGGGCTCTTGGAGGTATTGCTAAAAAAAAAAAAACCCTCATTAAATGGAGTCAAAGTGTTTATTAGTAGTGTTTGGACAGGGCGCCTTCTGTTGAATGTGACACTGGAAAATACATTCAGCTTAAGGGCATTTATCGAAAAGAGTGTTATGAAATTATTAAGAGGATGACTAGGCAGACAAATATTAAAGAAAAAATTTAATCTGTTCAGTAATATCTGACTGCTAAATTTAGAGAAGGATTTTGGACATGTTCTGAAATTGTAAGAGCAAGAGTTAAAATTTGCTAATGATCACAATCAGGGCCTAAAAATGTATAAAAGCAAATAGATGCATACCTCTCGGTGGCCACAGGCTGCCGTTTATGGTGAATGTCTCCAGCTGGACTTGACATGCATCCTGACCTGGTCTCAGGTTTCTCAGTACCCACTTCTTCCAATGCCGTTCCACCAGAATCCCAGGAAGTACTGGATTTTTGCATCTCCATTGCGGTCTTTGTGGTTTCTTTGGCAACCTGAAAAGACAAGGGTAAATATTTGATAACTGGACTTGAGAGAGTATTCCTTACTGAAACAAGTTTGGGGCCAACCTTTTAAGATGTGTTTTGGAACATGGCCAAGTGCACTACTAATACATAATTTAGTGTCACCCCTCCCTTTGGAGACCTAACACCTTACTGTGGTTACTCTATTTAACATGGTATTTTCAGTTAATTACAAAGACGCAAGATTCCATGCATTGCAATGCTTGCTGTGGCATTCTCAAAACCTGAACTGGGAAAAAATCTCACCAAATTTGGAATTATGATATGAATGGTAAACATCAAAACACTAGAAGAGAGTAGTCTAGTAGCGATCTTCACAAAACTAAAAACTAGAATCTAAAGACAGCTCAGCACTACAATATAACTCCCTCCTAAAGTATTATCTGTTGTTAAGTTGTTCTCTCACTGAATAAAACTGTCAAATTGTGTAGCAAAGGCCTAGTACAAATGATATATTTCTTTCCTCAGAGACATCCAAACACACAAAAGGTTGGCCAAAAAACAAATCTATTCATCCCATGGAGATCAAATCTATTCATCCCATGGAAATCAATCTTAATAAAAATAAACCTGTATGTTTAAAGACAGAGCATGCATTAAAAGCACAAAACAATCCATATGAACATCACTTCTTTTTAAGTCAAAGAAGGCTATTATTTGTGTAATCTTCACACATCACATAGAAAGAGAGAGTTTATGCAACAGAACCTATTCAGAGACACATGCAAAGCCCATGCATGATGAAGGACAAGTCACTACTAAAGAACACAGAAGATTAAACTTTGTTTAGTTTTGTAGTACAATCAAAAATGCCAAACACATTTCTTGAGTGCAGTGCAAGTGACCTTCAACAAAGTCGTTCAAGTCTACATGTCTATAAGGTTAGATAAAGAGACAAAAATGTAAGGAGAAACATGCAAGAATAACTCTTATACTTAAAATCAAACCTAAAAAAATAAATATTAAGACATGGAAAATGAACATTTAACAGAAAGAAATAAGATGAGGTCATGGTAGATGGCCAGTGAGGACCCTTTGACACATTTTTTTAAAAGAACTGAAATTAAGGTCATGGATGAAATGAAGAGAAAGGGAGGCGATCTAAGAAGGGATTATGGGAACGGCCATCCTCTACCTCTTTCTGGAGTTGGACCTTTTCTTTTGCCAAATCCAGGAAGACAACCTTCAGCATCCCTACCTCAAGTTTAAACCTTTCCATGTCCTCTTCCAGCTCTTCATCAGAAACACCTGGGATAGATGTTGAACGTCTGCTTAGTGAAGCAGGGCGAGACTTGGTGAATTCCTCAGCATCCTCTACCAAACTCGCATTGTTCTTCTGAGCTTCGTCTAGATTATTAGTCTTGTCCTTCCAGATAATATCTAGATGTGGTTTCTGGAATGGCCCAAGTTCGGTCTCATCTTTTAAGAATGTGCCGCCATCGACATCAGACATGGGTCTGGTATATTCATCAGTAAAAGCTGTGGTGAAATGATCTATGCTGCTGTCCCTCTGTGCTGCGGTGAGTATTGGTGAATGAGACCTGCTCTCCTCACGAACATCATCAGCGAGTAGATCTGGCTCTAGACACATGCTGCTCTCACTAGCTGGGGTCTCACAGACCTGCACTCTGTCCTCACATGCGGACTTGTCAGTTGATTCTGTCACAGAGTCTTCGAGTCCAGACTCCCTCTGCTCAGGAATGGTGAGAAGGACAGTACTCCTTGCTCTGGCCGCGGGGCGCACAATGATTTCCCCTTCTTCATCGCTTGACTCTTCTTCTACAGAAGTATATTCAGCCGTGGTCTGTTCTTCTACAGTGATGTCTTGTGCAGGACGTCTCGATTTAAGCAGTTCTCCAAACTTCTCTTTTAATTCACCAGCAACATTCTTGAAAGAAGATTTTACCTCCCTTTTCTCCACCTCTACCCAGAGCTTCTCATAACGTTTCTCCCATGGGACGTTATAACCTGCTTCATGTCTTTCTTCAGGACTGTGTTGATCTCTAAAGTCATTATAATTGTCTCCACTGTCAGAGCCCACATGGCCGAACGGGCACGGATTACTTAGATCTACCTCACATGTATCTACTGCATCATCTTTCTCCTTTGATGGCATGGGTGGACAAGGAAAAGCACAAAACAGACAGGACAAAAATGCAAAAAAACAAGTTTGGACTACAATACAATAATGTTCAAATAAATATGGAGCCATTTCAAAATTGCATTCTCATATAAAGAGAACCTGGCACAGTAAATTGTAATTTGTTTTGTCTAAAAAAGTTGTCAAAAGTGCATACAACAGAGGTAACTATCAGGCGTCTAGAATGTGAAGCAGCATCCAACAATGGCAAATGCACATTTAAATGTTTAACCCAGTTTTTTTTACCCAATTTTCGTGATGACAGATGGGTCAACCTAGTTACTTAAAACAAGCTAAAACTACAAAACTATCTCACTTAGAGGTTCCACTTGTTTTATTTGACAGGGGTAAAAAGGGTTTTGAGGATCCACAAAGCATCGACAAACAAAGTAGATCATGTGATTAAATTTTGATAGCTTGTATAACTCTACTTTGAAATATTCATATATTTACTATTAGTTATGAATTTATGATGTACAGTATTTTAAGTTCCCTGCGAATGGGAAAGCATCAGTATGATGTTGTATCTGGGACACAAGGTACTGAGGGATTAAAAATAAGAAGAGATTGCATATTCTCTGTATTTCTCACCTTTTGTTGCTGCTTGTCAGACTCTACATTACTTTTATTGTCCGTTTCCATCAGTGAGAGCTCAGGGATACCTACGGAGACAAAGAGTCTTTAGTCAGCGAATAAAAGTGTGTGCATACAAATACTATATATCAATCAGCGTAGGTAAAAAGAAAAACGTTAGCCTTACCTGGTGTTACCAAAGTCTGAAGCTCAGCTTTGTTTTGCAACTGATTGTCAATTTTGCCTGTATTGCCAGATGTCAAATTGTCTGGTTCCCAATCTGATTCTGAATGAGAGAAAGTCAAAGAAAGAAACAAAGAGGAAAATGCTTTAATGTCCTTTGTTTCATATGTTTGTGTGTGTCTCTATATACAGTTAATATATATAATTTTGATCACAGAATGCTTTATATGGCATACCTTCGTCACTCTCTGGTTTCAGAAGCACGATCTTCCTTGCTCGAGGTTGGGGATGGGGCACGGGTTGAGGGGGTGTGCTGGGAAGTCTGTTGTTGGAGGTGATGTTCCTCTGAGGCGTCAGGGGTGCTGCTGCAGCAACATCTTCATCTTGCTCTTTATCAGATTGGTTGGAGCACTCTGGAAACTCCTCAAGTCCAGGAGAGGTCATTCTGCGGCCAGGCAGGGTTCTCTTACTGATAGTACTGGCCGAATCCCAGTCTGATGCATCTGGGTCATTAACACAAGAAGCTACAGGTCAATGAACAAAATATCACATTGATGTTGCTGAGGGTAGGTCATTTTACACAGGGATAACCACTACACTTGCATGCAATGCATGACAATGTAAAATAAATGGGATAGGTTTTTGTGCTATTACACTATCAAACTTAGGTCTCAAAGGAGGAACTACAGCTAACAGTGTATAGATAAGTTCATCTTATCTAATCTAGTAAACTAGTTTATGTTTACTGACCTGCTTTTTGAGCTTCAAAAAGTGTGATGACAGAAACAAACAAAAAGGTAGTAAAGTCAGAATTGCATGCAGATAGACCACTTTAAAGAGGTCATATTGTGCTTTTAGGCTTTTTCACTCACCTTAATTGAGTTATGTATCTTTTTGTGCATGTAATAGGTTTGCAAAGTGAAAAAGCTCCAAGTCCACCCCTAAGGGAGTTCCCATCTCTCACAGAAAACACTGCTCTGAACTGCCTGAAAACAACTCATTTGTAGTTTAGCACTTTTCTTTTGTTCTCTATGACGTCACAGCAAAACGTGCGTCATAATGCTTGCTAAGCGGCTAGTCCGACACGCCCTCAAAGACACCAGTGGAAAAACACACTGAGCTGCAGCACACAGTGACAAGACGTCCGCCTGCTGCCTCTCCTCTCCCTTCCAAACACTAGCTACCCTCCAGGCAGTCAATGAACATAAATTTGTTATTGCGATGTAGAAAACAGAGCTATGTTAAAACTTTATGGATGAAAGATACATTTGTTACAAATTAATAACCCACCACTCTGAAACTCTTGCTCCAGTCCATGTTGCTAAGCTGGTAAGGGGATATACAGCTGAACTGAAGCCATGCTTACCGGCTTCACACGACCTGCCCTACTCTGCTTCTGATTGGCTAGTAGCCCTTAACCAGGAACTGCGCATGTTCAAGTCCCAACAAAGATCTTGTAGAGGTAAGTGTATCACTCCATAGCTAAAACGAAGCGTTCAACGGACAGGGTGAAAATATGCCAAAAAATATGGTGTTTTTTGAAAATGAAACCATGTAACCATGTAAACCTGTTCTGGCTAAATAAGATTTTGAAGCTGAAAATGAGCATAATATGACCTCTTTAATCAAAAGCTTCAGAAAAGATAGTAACTCATATTGTGTTTGAAAGTGAAGCTTTCATAATGTGGATATTGGGTGGTACTCTGTAAATATCAGACATTTTACCAGCAGTGACCCTGCAAAGGATACATGTGCATTGGGTTTAGGGGTAGGCTGAGGCATCAGTTGATCAACAACTTCAAATGTCTAAGTTAAAGAGGAGCAGACGAAACAGAATCAAAAATATTAAAACCAAGTGAATTATTTCATCTTACCTTCAAGATCATCAACATCACCCAGACCAAACTCCTCCATTAAGTCTGTCAAAAACAAACAAAGCACCACATTAGTTACAAATAGTCATCTTCAAATAAATTCTTTACTTTTAGACCTACAGGAACCATGACGCTCCAGATTATTCTATTTACCTGTCTTTCTTTCTTTATCTCCTTCAAGTTTGCTCAAAACACTGAGCGGTTCCCATTTTACCTTCTCAGTCTGGTAGAAAGAAAAAAACATTACTATTATATTCCAACCAATCAATTTATTTTACCTTCTACAGCATTTGGTTGCTGAACCTACCTCTTTCTGTGTAGTATCCTCTTTATCAACATGTTCTTCTCCCTTATCAACATCGTTGTTGTTACCAACTGCAGGAGACAAGACATGTCTGTCATGTCAGCACAATTAAAATGACATTCTGATGAAGCTGGATGGGTTTGCCAGAACACTGTAAAAAGCATTCCCATGCAAATGAGCTTATGGTTAATTAGCACAAAGATACATGGTTAGGCATCAGACAAGCATTTAGATTCCCAGATCTGGTTTTATTTGGACACAATGACAGCATCAGCCAGGAAGTGCTGTCCTTACTTAATAATATTAAGTGAGCCAACACCTGCTGAAACCAAGCAAACTAAGAAGTTGTTGTGGCACAGATTTGGGAAAATGGGATTTAAGGGTAGCAGGCAAGATGGAAAAGTTTATACTGCATGCATTCGCTTATAATAATCATGAGGTGATGGTCAGGCCACTGGTATGGTCAACATGCTGTTCCTCAGACCTATGAGTCAAGACATTCATACCCTCTCCCTGGCTGCCTCTTGGCCTGCCTACACTCCTCCGAGGCTCTAGCACTGCCATCCTATTGCTTCCTTCCCCTCTTAAAAAAGAGGGAATATAAAACAAGTCTACAAAAGAAATGTAACATATTGTTGGAAAGTCTGTTTTGATTGATGGAAATTATATTGCATTGCACATTTTACACCATATTTAGACTGAAAACAGACATTTTTAACCATTACTCACAGACAGAATTAATGCATGCATTAATACACTAAAGCACAATTTTCTTTGTTTATGATTAAATAAGGTCATTGTTTCTGCAGCATGAAATGGTGCCTGGAATGATTTGATTGGTCTGGAAAAAAACAAACAAATAAGCCTACTTTCTTTAATCTCTTTTTCAACAGTGGACATCTCCTCTTGATCCTGAGTGTGCGAGGTTTGTTTCTCTTCGTGCTGCATATTGGCGTTTTCAGAGTGGGACTGAAAGATGAAAAAAAAAAAATCAATCTGTGAAATCTGTACAGCAAACATCCGGCCCTTACAGAATATTCCAAAATGCATCTTTACGATACCTCAGAGTCCCAAGAATCCTGGTCTTCCTCTCCCTTCTCTAGGCCCAGCTCAGACAGGAAATCTTTTTCAACAGATATACATTAATTATACTGGCTGAAAAGTCAGTGTAGTAACTGAAAAGCAGTAAATGTCTTAGACAGCAGCAGTGAAGAAAAAAAATATTTTAACGCTCTGGGTCATAAACAATGTAATTTCATTTTTAGTCATCATTCAATTCAATACAGTTCTTGATGTACTTTTATGCATCTAAACGTTTGAGTCCCCTACTTTTTTACTGTGTGACCACATCTACAACAACATAGCTACTAGTCCATTAAATCAAAAAATTATTTTTATTTTACCTTTATTTTACCAGGAAGTCTCATTGAGATGAAAAATCTCTTTTACAAGAGAGACCTGGCCAAAGTAGCAGCCATACATAAACACAACATATTAAAATGCAATCATGACAAAATTCACAAAAAAAATAAAAATAAATTCTATTCTACATCTACTCAAACACAACGGGCTCTCAAGAAAAACAACCACATGTCTCCTTCAACACATTCTTGATGCTCTGACGCTCTTAAATTTATCAACTGATATGCACGTTTCTAATTTAAGATCTTTTTGCAAATTATTTCATGCCCAGGGTGCATAACATGAAAATGCAGTTTTCCCCAGATCTGTCAAAACTCTGGGTACATTAAAAAGCAACCACTTGGAGAAGTGTAGCTGGTAACTAGCAGAATTGAGACAGAGAAGGGTCAATATTGATATACAGCAATAATGACATGGTATAATTTCCCAATTCCTTAAGAATTTCTTCATTCAGTGGAAAACTATTACCAGCGTTTTTGACTGTTATTAAATCAAATGAAATCAAGGAGAAAGTGGCTTGCTGATCTTGTTAATCAGGTTAAGTCACAGACCCCGTTCTCTTGTTAATCTGCTCACAATTGTTCAAGTTAACCACAGAAAATAAGGGCACGGCTGTGCTGTTGTTGGACAAGACTGCCATAGATAGGTTGTAGTATTAATTGTAGTAATTGTAGAGTTGTAGTAAATTTTGGTGGATCATCATTCTGTGATGCACATGCAGCTGTTCATAACTGTTAAGAACTACAACTGTAAATGATTTGCTTCTTACCTCTTTTCTTATCTTTAGAGACTTCTGTCTCAGGAACAGGTGAAGTGGAATCAAGGGACTCTTCAAGTTGATCATTTTCATCTGAGAAGTCTCCTTCCTCGTCGTCTTCATCCTCCTCCTCTCTCTCCTCCTCTTCATTATCATCCTGTTCCTCTGTGGTCACTTCTTTCTGTGTAAGAAAAAATAAATATTAATGAATTTTACTCATAATCATGCACTTTAAAACCTATTTCTACTAGTGCATGTGTCATTACTAGACACACAAGACATCTCTAATGAATGGAAAAGTACTACGCAAACTGCAAACAAACGTGAATAAAAGAAAACTGATGAAAGTGTTGCAGAGAACACATTACTTTCCAGAACATGCTACACTACAAGACTAGCTGTTGCACTACTGTTTTACCTGAATAACAGGCTCTTCAATGTTTCCTACCTCTTGACTTATCATGCCTTTGCTCTCTGCCTCATCAGGTGAGTCAAGATCAACATCATCAATGTCAGTCTGAGGTAACATTTCAGACAATGAGTTCCCGCCTGAATCGTGGTGCTCACCAGCTGTGACATCATCTTTGGTGGGAGAGTCTGAAAAAGTCTTTTCCCTTACTCGTTCTTCATTGAGGTCATCTGATGACACTCCGGCCTGGGGAACGACAGCACTTCTATTTTCTAGTAGAACGTATGCAGTTAATCTAGCTTTGTGTTCATGGTCTGACTTGTCGCCTTCATACAGGCATCCGTCAAGAGTGTTATCAGAATCACCTCCCACATCAGACAATTTCACTGTGGTGCAGGCAAAATCGTAATGCAGTCTTTGGTCCTTGCTGTCAGAGTCCTCACTTGTCTCATCATCTTTGCTGGGATTGTCTTTTTGAACACTCACCAGCCTTTCCTCCTCTAGCCTGGTATCCTCTGAAGACTCATCATTTCCATCAACCTTAGACTGACCAACCCTTTCATTGTCTTCATCTCCTTCAATATCATCTATTTCGGCTTCTTCCTCTAACCTCTTTTCTACTGCACTTGTGGGCCTCAACTTTGGTGACAGCAAACTGGTTGGGGTAGAAAGACATCTCTTTAAGACGTTACCACAGTCTGCAACTTCATCATCCTTTGTCTTCTGCTTTTCAGACTCATCACTTTCATCTTCATCATCCCAACTACTATCATCGCCTTTCTCATTATCTGAGTCTAATTTTCCTTCCATTAGTGACGACTGACCAATTGATTCTACATCATCTTTATCTAGCATTTGGTTTCTGGTTATTTTTTCAACCTCAGGAACTGGTGACACTGCAGGGGAGGGGTCATTTGACTCTTTCTCAATACTTTCTTTATCTTCTTCTTCGCAAGAGCCATCAGAACACTGCTGCTGTCCAGTCTGGTTTGCTGCTCCAGTATTTATTTTAGTAACTAGTGACAGCACATCACCTTTTGCGAAGGAGCCATTGTCATTGTCGTCATTATTTTCAGAAGAGGAATCCCACTCTGACCTACCTGAGTCATCTACTGTTGTTTTTTCTGGTCTGTTTTGTTGTAGAGTGCTTGCTGAACATAATACTAAAGAGGGCATTGGTTCATCTATCACTGCCTGAGATGAGACACATTTTGGAGATGGTACCACTGGTGATGAAGAATCCCATGAGGTATCCGGGTGGTCTTCATTTGGTTGAGGTAATGTGCATATCGAATCCAGTGTTGCTGCTTCTGGTTGTAAATCTAATGCTTGAACATCACTTTTCTCATCAAGCATGTCCTTGTTTAACTCATCTTCTCTAGGTAGTTCAGCGTCACTGTCCTCTAATGAGGAGCCCCATGAGGATCCTTGTTTCTCTTTGTTTGATCCAGCATCATCTTCAGCAGCAGAACCATCCTCAAGCACCACATTTCTTCGATTAGCAAGTACTGTGTTGCGACCAAATGCGCCTTTTTGATTATCCTCCTCATCATCGCTGTCATTCCACACTATATCGGTGCTGTTTTGTTTTTTGCTCCAGGAGTCATCATCCTCCTTTTCCATTTCTCTTTCAAACTCTTCCTCCTTAACCTCAGCAGTTGAACAAGATTCCATATGATGTCTGGATGGTGTGGGGCCTCGAGCTGAACCCATGTCTGAAATTCTGTTTTGGTCTGATGACGATATGCATTCCTTCCCAAGGCTGTCATCTTCATCAGAAAATTTTGATTCTACCCTAACGGCTGACACAACAAAATCCTCCTCTACATCTAATGTCACTGCCATTGCATAACTTGTTGTTCCAGCTGGGGAAGAAAATTCATTTTTTTTCAGTGAGGCATCTATATTCTCACCTGCAATACTAGTCTCACTGTTCACTGAGATGTCAGCACCAGGTATGTTTTCACCATCAGCACTGTCAGTAATCTGAAGTGCACCAGTAATATAGGCTTTTTGTATATCTTCATATTCAGTAGTGCCGGCCCTGACAGAAGCCACATCGTTGTCATCATCCTTCTCCTCACATTCATTATCTTCTTCGTCTTCTTCCCCATCCTCCTCTTCCTCATCCTCCTCTTCACTTTCCTCATCATCATCATCCTCCTCCTCCTCCTCGTCATCCTCCTCATCTTCTTCCTCATCGTCATCCTCTTCTTCTTCTTCCTCCTCCTCTTCATCTCCAACTTCCTCTTCAGAGTCCTCGGTTCCTGGGCTTCCCTCTTGAGAGCCTGACATTGTTTTACTACTTGAAGGCTGCCCAGAGTGTTTGCCTTTCTCCTGCTCAGCTGCACTGTCTGCTTGTTTTACGCATTTGGGAGAAAAATAGAAGGAGAAAGATGTCATGGAAATGGAAGCGGCAAAACTTCAACACATATATTTTACCTTTCTGTAGCTTAGAAGAGGGGTAGAAGTCATCTGGGGTGCTTTGGAAAGTAAGGAAACGGGAGAGGGATCTACTGGGTGCTGCAGAGCTTTGCTGGATGGTAAAGCCTTTGGGTGGGATGGGATTCTCTGGATTCTATTCTCACTCTCTGGCTCAGATTCTGTACCACTCAAGGATCTGTCAGCTAGTGCAGAAGCTACAGGGTAGGCAGGGATAAAAGATTACCACCAAAACCACAAACTATAGAGGGACAGTCAATAAGGTTAAAAGATTCTCAGTACCTTCTCCCTTTTTAGATGCAATCATTTTCCTTAGGTTGACCTTTTGTGGTTTCTAAAAGACAGCATATCAAATCAAGGGCAGAACAAAATTTAGGAAAACACACTTTACAAGGACAAAACGTTACACCAACCTTTTCTATTAAAACCGATTCATCATCATCTTCTGATGAAGGCCATTCATCCGCAGCACTTTTTGAAACCCTGAGGAGGGAAGAAAAATGGTTTGAGTCGGGAAGTCGATTGTAATTGTAAGCTGAAGATCACAGGAAGAAAAGTGTGCTCACCGACTTAGTGACTCCGACTGAGAATTGTCTTCAAAATCTGCAACAAAGCAGAGGAACATATTTTCAGCAGATCAACACTCAACATCAACTTCAAAAGGTAGGTGTCATATTTTAATATTAAAACTGTCAAATAGCGAGCTCTTTAGGGCATCTAAATCTTGGAAACAGTGGAAAAAGCATGTTGGTCAAAGCAGCATTGCCTGAAAACGGGAATAGGTTGAATATCCGTCCTTAGTTAAGGTTGCTGTTAATAATCTTTACAGGCAAGAAACTGACAGCCTTTGGCTAAACAAAGCTCATCTAAGTAAAGTAATACCTCTCCCTGCTTCATTTTCTCCATGCTCTAGATCCAGTGAAGAGGTAATGCATGAGGAATAAATGAAATAATCAAAGTCAATAATGAATAGACAAACAATAATAATATCCTCACACAATATCCCTCAGACCACATTCATTCACTATTATATGATGAAAACATATCTCCCTACCATCTTTGTCAGTAGCTGGTCCTCCCAAAGAGAAGCCTGCTTCAGCGTCTTGGGAAGGACTGCCCAACAGTGTTTTTTTCGTCTTTTTGCTTGGACCTTGATGTGATAGGGATTGGCCATCGTTCCTCTGGGTACTGTGCTCAATGATCAGGAGGGAACAACTACAAGGAGAGTCAAGACACTGAAAATTAGGGGTGAGGGAGAAACATTCAATACAGCATGGTATCGCGTTATTTTGCGTGGCAATACTGTATCGATACACAGACGCCAAGTATCAATCTTTTATTATATAAATTGTACATGAGAATTTAGTACTATAATAATAAAATCAATAGCTTTTTCAGTCCACTAGAAAAAGAGTTTTCCTTTGGGGACACAATTTAAAGTTGGAAAACAGTAATAAATTCCAATACATCGCAATATGTTTAAAATCACAATAATGTCGTATCGTGACATAAGTGTTGTGATAATATTGTATCATGGGGCCTCTGGTGATTCCCACCCGTACTGAAAATGTCATAACATCATGATTCTGCTATTGCAACTGTGTGTAACTGTGCCGTGAGAATCTACAGGAACTGTATTTGTAATGAATGAAATATACCTACACAATGACCCATTGGAGGCTTTAGTTGTTTAGTTTGTTTCAGATCTGTGTTCCTCTCACACACAGCAAATGCATAAATTACAGAGGAAATACCACTCAAGGAACATAACTGCAAAGAAAAGAAGCACAGCTTACGGATGATGCCCATTCATCACTGCGTAGTCATCAGCTGACCATCCTTTGGCATCCTTTAGTGTGATATCTGCATCAAACCTCAACAGCAGCCGCAACATACCAATTTGTCCATTGCCAGCCGCTATCATTAATGGGGACCTGAAGGTAAAATCAATGACAGCAACATGACCAACTGTTAACAATGAGTTCAGCAAGGTTAAGGTTATAAGATAGTTACCACAAATGTGTTTACTACTGACCTTTGGTCTTGGTCCATAAAATTCACATCTGCACCTTCCTTGAGTAGAAACTCAGCCATCTCGATATGGTCCTCGCGGACTGCCACAGTCAAGGGTGTGAATCCCTCCTAAAGATTCAAATATCACAGGTGGCAGAAACATTGAAATTCTATTTTTTAATATCCATTGTTATTTAAAAGAGGTTTACTGGCTGGTGTTGTAGACAGTATTGTTGGTGGTATAAAACCAGTGCACACTAAGAGGTCCTCCCTAAATGGCCAAAGTTGGTTACTACAATAAATACTGTTATGATAAAATCAGCTAATATTTTGTTAACATTTTTATCATTAAGATACAGGGGCACGTCAACTATTGTCCAACTCCTTGCATCTTAGCTGGATTCAAATTTATTTGTCATGAAGTCTGAAGATTGTCTATATATTTTGCCTAGGCTGAGAAACTGTACTGTAGTACAAAAAAAGATGAGATCACCTTATTTTTTGCATTAATGTCAGCCTCATGCTCGAGCAGCAGGACAGCAGTGGAAATGGATGGGATGTTTGCTGCTAAATGTAGGGCTGTATTGCCATTGATGTCCACCAGGTTAGGCTCGGCATGATTCTCCAGCAGTATGTTCAAACAGCGCTCATGCTGGCACTGCACTGCCTGATATAGTGGAGAATTGACATGAACCCAGAAGTCTGAACAAGGCTTGAAACAATGCATCAGAGAAGTAGCCAACTGTGATCCTCACAATATATTTAACATTAAATGAAGAATCACTCTGACTTGGAGTCTCATCACCCAGGATTACCTTCATTAAGGCGGATCTGTTTTGATTGTCGCATAGGTTAAGCTTGGCTTTGCTCTCAACGAGGAACTGCACCACTTCAACATGTCCACTGGCGCAGGCAATATGGAGTGCAGTTCTGTAAAAGTAAAGGAGAGAGTTTCTCATGCAAGCAACCTGTTTCTTACTAAAACACCTCCACTGACCTTAACATGGATTTCACAGCTATGTTTAACCTAGGCCTTACTTAGCTAATTACTCCATCAAAACATTCTGTTCTATTAGTTAACTGCAGGGCCTGACATACTATATATCTGAAGCAACATACAATACATGCATTCAAAGATAATATTAATTCAATTCAATTCAATTTTATTTATATAGCGCCAAATCACAACAACAGTTATCTCACAGCGCTTAACATAACAACATAACTAATAATTTAATTAGCTGTCCAAAAAAGGGAATTCCCTTTTAGAAATAAAATTGTGTGAGAGTTATTAGATAGTTACTGAGTGTGTAACGCTCCACATTTGATAAATATTAAACAGAACATTTTAGCTTCAGACAAGATCAACTTCTACAATTCTTTCACTATCACATTCTGTAAATTTCCTCAAGAACTCCATGTATACGACTCAGTTACTTCTGACACAAACTAATTGTTATGGGTAACTAGATCCTACCTTGAAACATAAGTAGAAAAGAAACAATGGGGTGACACACAGCTTAATTTTGCAGTTAAAATATTGGACATACATTTACCACAACCAAGCTCTACTACACAAAAAATATTCCACAGGCCCTACTACATGTAATTATCAAAAATATATCCTAGGTTTGCCACATTACATCTATTGCAAAAGCCCTAGAATTAATGAGATCAATCTGCACGGCGCCATTCTTCTGTGGGGTGACAATTTGGAAGACTTCGATCAAGTGCTTTAATCCCACTTACCTGTTCTCCTTGTCAAGTTGATTGATATCATTCTTTTTAGCAAGCTGCTTCAACTTTGCCAAATCACCCACTGAGGCAGCCTTGTGAACCTTCCCGAGGTCCTTTTCTTTTAGTTCATATCCAACAGAAAGCACACTCCCACTGTCGGGGGTACTGGAGGGGTGTTTCTTTTTCTTAGTAAAGCTGAATATCTTCTTCATTGTACACTGCTGCGCAACATTGCTTTTGCGCCGTCACTACCTGCCACTCATCTGGTGCTGGAGGATCACCACAGGCGGCTCTCCCATCCCTAAAAATAAGACATACAAAGCGGATTAGAAGCCTATAAAACCGTGCTGAGAACACACTGCGGTGTTGCTTGATATAAATTATAAATAACGTTAACGTTAAGTAACACGAAATACTGTAACTCACACAGTCACATAAACTGAGGTAAATTAGCTTCAGCGCATAACGTTATACCGCATAACTTAGTAATCAACTGCATATAAAAGGAGCCAATACGCATAACGTTTATATTATTTCAATGTAGCGTTAGGTAGGTGATTGTAAAACCCAGCTGTCAACATAAAATGCTAACGTTAACTAAGCTAACGACTCACATAACGTTTACTTACCCTCATTTTCTTTCATACCTCACACCAGGACCTCATCTAACGTTACGTTATTAAGTACCTGTATTACTCGACAATACATGTTAGCGGTTTATTAGTACACCGATTTTGATGCGATTACGATGCACAGGACCGAACAAGTCCTAATTGGCTAACGTTACTCAGCGTTATTGATAAGGACGTAGCTGTAGTTGGCGTTATAGCTTGTGGCTTGTTACTATGGTAACGACCAGAGGTTATCCCATAAACTCACAGGTTTTCTGTGCTATTCTGAAATAAGTTACACAGCTTTAATAAGTTAGAAAACAACGTATGTTTTGGTCAGTGTCAACTTAAAACCTAAGCTTATATTCACGGTGGTCTGTTGCCTAGCAACATTAGCTTCTGTTGGCTGCGTGCTGCGCCTCCCACGTCGTCACTACACAAATGATGCATACCGCCACATTTAAACCGAATTTGTAGCAGAGTCGAGCACAGCGGCGATTGTCACTGCAGCGCTGAAACCGCAAAGCTAATGACCAAGACTCGTTTCGGTTCAAATATACTTGTGCTGGAGTTGTTAGCCAACGCTAACCTTTCGCTAGGTGAAACTATCTTAACCATGCTAACTCAATGCTAATTAGCAAACGCTAAAAAGTAAAGCCAAGATAAGTGGGTTGCAAAGAACGATAACTGTAAGGCGAATGTAAAGGAGCCATGTGAGGTTAACGTTATAATACGCTAAATCAGGTACCCATGTGTTTAATTAATACTAACTAACTTACAGTAACGTACATTAACTGAAACACTAACCTGTTGATTGTCGGAGTCAGACCACTAAAAGCTAAAGAACGTATGCATAGAAAAGAGTGCTGGCTGTTGGGTTTTCAACGAACCAATCAGAAAGGAGTTCGAGGTGAAGACTGCATTTACTGACCAATAGACGGCTTCAGTGTGTGTTTAAGGTTGGTTTACAAGCAACGCAGGGCTGTCTGTCGAAGAAGCCTTGTGTAATGGCAGAGGTTTACCACTGGATGGTAACATTTGTCTTGGTATCATGTTTGCCAGTTGCAAAAGACAGTTGCATGCTTTTTATCTTTGTCAACCTTATAAGATAATAACAACCTTATTTAGAATATGAATTAAAATAGTAACTTGAAAAAGACAAAACTACTGTTGTACAAAACTAGTAGATAATTACATTTAGGCTGTACTAATGTTATAATCACTTTGGTATATAGTAGACTAACGTGCTGATGTTAAAAATGTAATGTGCTCATTTAAAACAGCAGACAGCAGGCAGGGGCTCAAAGACCTGTAACTAACTTAAAGTTTGAGGGGTGGGGTGAGGGTTTAATAATTATTTGGAAACAATATGCCTAAGCTATAAGTAAGTAAGTGAGTCCAAAAGAGATTTACAGCATATGTAAAGATAAAAATCAATGTAAAGATATAATTTCTATGTTTTCAATTATGACCCACTGAGATGTAACACTAATTGAAGTTCTAGTGTTGATTATATGCTCCATCCGTCCTCATTTAGATCCCAACATGGAGTAGAGTTGCATTGTGCATTCTGACGTAACACATTTAAGCAACTTTATATGCAAAGGAGAGTGCTAATTATTGTTAATTAGAGGTTCATTTAAGACATCCAAGTGAATTGCATTATTTCTTTTCCCCAAACCTTCACTAGATGCATGGATGATGTTCATATTTGAGATCCAGGACAGGGATCCACAGTCTCATGGTTCTGTCAGCTAATGTTTTGCTCTTGAAACTGTGATTTGAGACTGTTTCCAGAGAACCACATCATTAATTTTAATCTTAACTGTTTATAGGCTACTGTCTTGCCAAAAAGTCCCTTAAATCAAAACAATCCTCTAAGATCTGGTTTTATTTCCAAGTGAATCGAAGAATATTGTTGAATCTCATACATCACATTTAGTTCTTATTATTTTAATTATTTACTGTCACATTGTTTACAGAATGGAATGTTTTATTCCACATCTGATCATGTGACATTATACAGGGAATGAATTATTCTTTGCATATGCATGTACTTCGGTTACCAAATTTTGTACTTACCAACTGAGAATTATGCTACTGTACATAGTCACATAGTTCAACTTCCAACAGTGAACACGCTTACAGCCCTGACAGGATTGATGCAGAGCAAGACAGCAATGTGACTGCTGTATATGTCCACCTTTAAAAGTTGTTTAAAGAGGTGGTCTTATGTTCATTTTCAGGTTCAAAATCTTAATTAGGGGTTGTACCAGAACAGGTTTACATGGTTTAATTTTCAAAAAACACCATATTTTTCTCATACTGCACATTGCTGCAGCTCCTCTTTTCACCCTATGTGTTGTATGCTCTGCTCTTGAGCTACAGAGTGATGCATCTTACTTGTACAAAATCTTTGTTGGGAGTTGCACATGCGCAGTTCCCAGCTAAGGACTACTAGCCAATCAGAAGCAGAAAAGAGCGGGTCGTAAGAAATGGTATAAGTTACTCACAAGTCCACAACATCATTGTTCCCCATCTTACCATAAACCACTGCAAAAATCACCATATTTCAACTCAATTTTACATAACAATTGGCCAAACAATTTGCTCAGTAGATTTCACATCAGGTGTAACATTAGCATTATAGTTATAACTTTAGCTGTGTTACAGCTTATGAAATTCCATACGAAAACCGTAAAATATAAAACTTTCTATTGCTGGCCTCTGTCTGGTGCACGCAATGATGATGCAGTGAATAGTGACGATTCTCTCTGACCAATCAGCAGTCTGTCATGTTTTCACGTTACATTTTAGTTCCCTCAGTTCGCTTGGAACCTCAATGGAGGTGAGGTGATACAAAAAAAAGTACCTGGAAGCAGGTACAGGTACAACATTTCTACAATGGAAAACCAAACAAAGGCGAGTCGAGCCAAAGGGCCTCTGCTCAGACTAGCTTGGTTTGAGGGCGTGCCTGACCCCGCTAGCCGCTTGGCAAGCTTTATGACGCGTTTTCATTGTGACATCACAAGTAAAGGAAGTGAAGGGCTGGACTACAAACGAGCTGTTTTCAAGCGGTTCAGAGCAGTGCTTTCTGTGGGAGATGGGAACTCCCTTTGGGCTGGACTTTCACCTCCATTGAGCATAGCTGCTCAAAATTGCTTTGTGCTGCAGCTGAACATGTAGTAACAGTATTGTTTGAAATGTAACATTATGGAATCATCATGCCTCAGTGTAACATTGCTTTACACAAAGCAATGTTATATTGTCTCAAAGGAGGAAACTACATATTGTGTCTTACACCTCCAAGAGATTCAGCTTTAGATTAGACAAATTAGACATGTTTTCCACCCATGGGATGGAAAGAAATATGAATGACCTCTTCCACATACAAAAAGTCAGAATAAGTCAATCCTTGCTGACCCTAGTCACCCCATGTTCAGTGAGTTCAGGTTGCTCCCATCTGGTCATAAATTTAACTTACCAAGGTGCAGAACCAATAAAATTAAAAACTCATTTTTCCCTGCTGCTATCAACCTTCTGAACAGTAGTGAATAATTTATATGTTTATTTCCTCTTTGCGTGTGAATAGTTTATGTGTTTTTTATCGTGCTGATTGTACTGCTGGCTGTGCAACAAATTGCCTCTCAAGGAGATTAAAGATTCACCTTACCTAACCTTACCTTAAGTGAACCTTGAGTTAGATCTTTTGTCAAACTCTGATTTCCAAGTCAAGAACTGTCACACTCAAATACAGTATAGTAAAAAAATATGTTATAATAGAAATACAATAATATTAAGATGTAAAAATGCGTAGAAATGCAATTTATTTATTTACCTGCAACATATTGCCTAACAGTTCTAATTTGTATAGGCTTCGCCCTCTAAGGAAATCGCTATTGGGTGGTATGGGCCTCTCCTACGTCCGCTCCTTGTATATATACACAACGTTGAGACCTGCCAATTGGCTCCCATTTTTCTTCAGCACTGAGCTGTCTAAAGAGCAAGAAGATTCTAAAGAGCAGAAGATTCCGAAGAGCGAAACGATGTCTCCTAGCAAGCTGATCGGATCAGGGCAAGACGCCGCTTTGTCCGTACTGGTGTGTGATGTCTGAAACATGGGCTACATCATGCCGGGGGATCTCCATCCCCGCTGCGAGGCTTGCCTCAGACCGGAGCAGCGCCGGGCGGATAGCTTTGCCGTCCAGGAGGAGGAGGTGTGGTGGCCCACCCACTCCCTGGATGAAGCCCTCGACCTGCTGTTACCGGAAGAACAGGAGTTGGATGACTCTGCTTCTTCTATTCACCGGTCCATAGGTGTCATTTATACTGGGCACACATTTTGAAAGTATTTGTTAAAATGGTTCTGATAAATAGCTTGCAACAAGAAATGTTAAATAACAAATGAGAATGCTTTGAGAAAGGTTTATTTGCACAATAAGAAACATGCAATACAATGTGAATATAGAAGAAACAAATTTGCATTGTCCAAGAAAGTAACTTAAGCTAAAAAAAAACAAGTTGCTGATTACTACATTGTATTGCATTATATTTTTATATTTTGCATTATCACTTACACCTGAATTTTGTGTTTCACTTTATATATATAAAAGACATTTCATCATCCTCATGAATTGGTCCAGAAAATGGCTCCAGAATGCAGGAAATGTGTTTAATGCTCAAAATCTTCTGGGGGAGGACCCCAAGAGCCCCCAAATCATAGGTTGCAGTTCGCCTCCTACCCCCTACCCCCTTTGCTAGGATAGTGGAGACACTTCTCTCCTCTCTGGTTCAGATCACCATCCTCCAGGCAGAGCTCCAGGAGCTTCTGGAGAAGCAGGCCATTGCCCGGGTTCCTCCGGTGGAGAACCAGGTTTGGTGCTGGATCTGTCGCTGTTCAACAAAACAATTATGGACCTTTTCGCATGTTGACAGTGAAACAGGTACTGTAGTGTGTGCGTTTGTTACTCTCTGGCCCCACGCACTTTCTCCAAGTGCGTCAAGACGGCTTTGGAGCTGCTGTGGTGGGCGGGCATCAGGGTCCTGTTTTACCTGAATGACCTGCTGCTGTTGGCGCGGCCCTGGGACGAGGCGGTGGTGGAGACATTGCACACCTGTCAACGAGGCAGTACTACTACATCTATTCCTCTGCCCTCCCAGGACAATGGCACTTCACTCTCCTCGTTTACTCCTCTCATGGAGAACGAAGTATCAGAACTCCTGACCCATAGCTGTCCCACTACATGCCCACTGGACCCAATTCCTACCAATCTCCTCCAAGCCATATTTCTACTGTGGTCCCGGCAATCACTCATGATAAATACTTCTCTGGCTTCAGGAACCTTCCTGACCACTTTCAAAAGGGCTCAGTTTACACCCTTG